GATTTTCTTTTTTAATTTTTTTTTAATCTTGTCTTCTTCTCTTTTGTCTCTCTTTTCTTCACATCGCCGACTTCCCGACGACCCGCACTGCAGACCGCATTCGGGTCAGCCGACCGACCGGCGACCAGCGGACAGCCGCGGAATGGCATGTGGGTTTCCCAGCAAAAAAAAAAAAAAGAAAAAAAAAGAAAAAAACGCAGGCGGCAGGTTGTCCCCCGCGTGCTGATTAGCCCAATGTAGGCTAGGAGGCTAGGCCTTTGCTGGCAACAACCAACGAGTTTATTTGGGCGACACATGGGTCTTTCACCAGACTGTCGGGACCACTCAAGCGCCCGAGGGGTAACAGCTCGGCCCCCCTCCCTCCTCTCCGGGGCGATCCTGCTCAGCTGTCGTGTGTGTGTCTTTTCTTGTCGTTGGTTCCATGTCCCGGATTGATTTTATTTTATTTTATCTCATTTAATCACGCGCTGTGAAGCACATACATGTCATCCTGCTAGTCACTGTCTGTACGCGCACAAGTGACCCCTTACCTGTGCGCATCTGATCATTGAGCAAGACTTGGATTGATTGCTCGAGCAGGTACGTTTCTGCTGCGTTGCGTTGCTCCTGCCCTGCGTGCCTGCCAGCCCCTGCCCGTGATTGCCCATCCATCCCCCAGCCCCTGCCCTGGCAGACACCCAAGCCCAGGCATGCTGCGAAATCACCCCAGCCACTGAAAATAGCGGAGGGCGAGAAAAAAAAAAAAAGCATGAGCCAAGCCTGGAAGAGCCAGCAGCGCGACCCCATGTCGCTTGCTGCCTAGCACCAACTCCATCCAACACGCATTGACGTTGCATCGCGTCGACCGGCCGTGCCTCGAACCCGCCCCAGCCTGTGTCTCTCTCGGCAATAAGCTTGTCCAGAATGGTGCGGGCGGTGGTGGTTGTGGTTGTGGTAGTGGTGGTGGTGTGCGCACACGCTTGTCCCCGCACCCAACATCCCATCCATTCTAGACTTGGGCTGAACCACCTAGCGTCTTCATTTTCTGATTGTCGACAATTGTTGGATTTGACCTTTTTTTTTTCTTTTTCTTCTTCTTCATCCCTCATTCTCCCCCTCGGACCCGCCAGGCTGGGTCGTTCGTGGGGCGGCTTCGGCACATTTTGAGTCAAAGCAACTCCTCGGACACACATCCAAATCGGGGAATTCTCCTTGAATCTTGGGGTTGATAATTTTTTCGTTTCTTTTCCTGTCGCTCTCCATCGATATTTGGATCCATACAGTTAAATAATACCACGCTCCGTCGCAGAATTGAATACCAGAACCACCAGGCTGGAGCAGCTCGACAGCCGGGGATGCTATCAAGGGGATACTATCAAACCGAGGACCCTTCACAGGCCCCTTGGGTTCCTCAGCTTCCTCCCTAGATCGGTTCCTTCCTAGGTCCCTTCTAGGCAGTGGGTCAGCCCCCCTAGACTCTCTTTTGTCTCTAGCATCGCGTTCCCCCTCCCCCAGATTTGTGTATCATGCCCAAGTGCCCCCAGGGACAGCAGGCAGCACGGCTAGCCTGTGCTTTATCAATTCCCCGGAGGCATGGAGCCGGATGGTACATCGCTAGCCACCTCCCTAGCTCTAGCGGAGGATACTCCGAGTTGCATGTGCAACCCAACTGAGACGGGAGCTGCAGCGACTGACCTGCACGTGATGGCGGCTCCAACATGAGCGCCGTCACCACCAAAAGTCCAGCCAGGTCTCCTGCGCTCTCGACGCGAAGCCAATAGACGCCTGCCCTGCACACCGTCACGTAGCAGGTTGCTGAGACCAACCTGATGATCTGCTTGCTGCCTGCCGGCCTGCCGGCCTGCCGGTCTCAGGCCAGCCAGCCGGACAGCATCAACTTGGAGGCCTGTCCCCGAGGCAGGGGGGGTGGGAACAGCGAACGCAGGGAGAGGGGGGGAATCCACAGTGGGAAAAAGTCCAAAGAGATGACGGATGGATGGGTAGTGGTCGTGGGTTAGGGCGAGGCACCTGCCCGCCTTGCCGCCTTCACCTGCTGCCGCCGCACAGTCGATCCAACACAGCGTGCGTCCAGGCCAAGGGCTTTCTCGCTGCCTTGTGCGGATTCTTTGCAGCTGTCAACTCGTCTCCTTCGCCCGTGCACCGGAAAAGAAATGGAGGCGTCAGCCACCGAGAGATGTTCCCATCACGTTGACCGCCCCTTGTTGGCATTTGGGCCGCCGCCGAGACGCGCGGACTACCCGGTTGGTCAGGGATTGGCTGTGATATCACGTCCAAATCAGCGCTGTCCAGCCGAAAAGGCAAGAAATAAACAAGGAAGGAAGAAAAAAAAACATTGGTGCCAACGTGGCCGCGAAAACCAATAATGACACGACGGCCGTATTCTCTCCCTTCCCCTTGCGAATACGCCCTAGCTCACCGGCCCTAGAGCCACGCAAGAGCAGGAGGGCACCTTGGTTGGCCAGCCAGAGGGGGGTCAAAAAAGGTTTCTGGACCAGACCCCCTCGGGAAAGGATCAGCATGGGAACGACAATGATCCGCCCCCATGGGTTACCTACGTGGTGGGTACGAGGGCGCGCGCGCGCGAGGGGTGCCGCTCAGATGCCGCTGTTGCCGCAGCATGATGAATGGGTGATCGCAATGTTGTTGCCGCCGTCGCTGCTGCTGTTGCTGCTGTCCGGACATGGCATGTGCGTCTGTGGTGCCCGCGCATTCAGCGCCTCCTCCACCTCCACACACGCACACACACACACAAACACAGTCTGCTCACACACACGCACACACTCTCTCTCCTCCTCTCACCTCCTTGGTCTGGTCTGCTCAAGCGGTCAGGCCCCAAGACGCCCCTCGTCTTTTTTGCTGCCAACAAACCCCCTTCTCGACGAGAAAGATGGAGGGTGATGGCCTTGCCATGAAACCTTGCATGTGAAACCCCATGTTGAAAACTTTTGCATCCCTCCTGATCGGCATGCCGTAGTGAAAATCTTGCTTCCATACGAGTACGTGACGACGGGCCAGCCGGCAAGTGCCGGGCGGCTAGGTGCCTACCTGCCTGTCTGCCTATGCTTGTTCGCCCATCGTGTCGCCGGGGGGGCCGACATGAACTGCATGTCGTGGGCGATCATGGAGGAGGAAAGGAGGCCCAGGCATCGGTTGTCATCTTTTAGTCGTACGGGCAGCAGCAGCAGCAGCAACAGCCGCCGCTAGGAAACTAATCAACAAAGCGTCATCGACCTGTCTGTATATCTAGCAGCGGCAAGAACACATACACGGCCTCCTTCTCCACCGAATGCGGACACGAGGTCGCGCGCTCGCAAACACACACACACACACACTTTCTCGCCAGCGAGAGATTACACACAAACGCGGAAACGGCACGAAACCAAGAAAAGAGGAGCGTGGGAAATGCTTGTGCGCATCAGGAGAGGGTAGCCTTCCCACACCCACACACCCAAACCCGCCTAGGAATGCCCTCAACCCAGCGCGCGCTGCTTTTGCTTCATCCTTCTCGGCGTGTGCTTTCCGCTTTCTGACCCCCTGCCAAACCTTATTCTCCTGGCGTAGAAAATGGACTGCCCAGCGCGTCCAGCCAACCGCAGGGGAAAGGAGCAGCCGCTAAGTCGGAGGCCACCCCTTGTGTGTGTGTGTGTGTTTGGCGGGCGGACATGAGGACCACCACCACTACCATCCCAGGGCAAATCCTGGGGCGGGAGGATGGATGGCGTCCCCTCCCCGCCCAGAGAAAAGCCTAACGAATCCTGGCTGCTGATTACTGGGCCCCATGGCGTTCCTGCTAGTCTCTTTTTCTTCCTCGCTCTCTTTCGGGCGAGAGAGTCGTGCCCTGTGACGAGAAGGGTGACAGTGCATGTGAGGGAGCCAGGGGGTGGGGACGGGGCAAAAACACCACGAGGCGTAGCCAACGAGGCAACAAGGCCGTCCATGTTCTGGGGGGAGACGAGGGCACGCAAGCACAACCCGCTCGCTCTCTCTCGCACTCTCACCCACATACGCACACCACCACCAACCAGCCCATTCCATCCACACGCTCAGCAGCGGGAGGGACGCACAGAGCCTCGATGGACCAACACTGTTACAGCCACGAGGCATAAACAGGAATGGAGGGGAGTAAACACACACACACACATACGAAGACCGGGAGAGACTGCAAACAACAACAACAAAAAGCGAGGGGAAGAGCGCAACTCCCGCGGCTGCCGCGCCGCCCCTGAATCAAACAAACCAACAATGAGGCAAACGTGCAGGGCAGGGCTGAACGTGTCTTGTGGATGATTTCCACCATCTGCCCATCCGCCCACCCGCCTGCCCACACACACACACACATGCACACCCCTCCCCCCTATCGCCGCCAGGCCTTGTTCTTGTTAGCTGCCATATGTATTCAGGTTAGCACCACGTCCTCCTCCACATCTTTATTTGTCTATTTCCTTGTCTTCTTCTGTCACTTTCCCGTATCCGTCCCACCCGTCCCCACCGAGCTAGCCACGACTAGCTCAGGAGATGGCTGAAAAGGCTCAAGATTGGCAAAGAGTTAGGTACCTTTTTTCTCTCTCTCTCTCTCTCTCTCTCTCTCTCTCTCTCCTTCCTCGTCTCATTTACTCTCGGTCAGACCATGAGAACATACGTGGTAGGCATGTGCCACACCTAGGCAACGTAGACAGCATGCAGAATAGTAAACCACCGCGAGCGAAAAGGGGTGGTTGGCTCACGCCAAAAGGGGGGCCGGAGAGATGCGTCCTCTCCCCCCACCTCCTATTCGTTAGTTCCCCCATCGCCCCTTCCTCTTTCCGCACAAGCGGCTGCCACAAAAAAGCACGGAGAGCAGTCCGCGTCCAATCACGCCCGGATAGGGGGTGGTGGCCAGGCCCACCCTTGCGCTGCTGAGGGGCGGAGATGGATGGATGAATGGATGGGTTGGATGGATGGGTTGGATTGGATGGATGGATGGATGGATGGGGGCCCAAACCCGCCCTCCCGTCTTGTCCTTGATGCTAGCCAGCCACTCACCTCACCGCGTGAGAGCCAAGTGGTGGCTCTGCATGTCGGTTGCCGGCCGAGAGAGGGACGAGACAAAGACGCCGTGGGTAGCGCGTGGGGAAGTCTTCGCCGCCGGTCCAGCTGTCGTCAGCAACGGGACATTAGTGACCTGAGTAGTGTTGACACGGCGAGATCGTCATAAAGACCACGTTATCACAGGGTCCGGCCAAGAGACCGCTTCTTGGACCCTTCATTTAGCAAAAAAGACACATGACCATAGAAACGTGTTCAACCGTTGCATTAAATGAGGCAGTACATGGTCCATGCCTTTGGACAGCTACTCTAACAACTACCAAGGTATGGGCCATCTCAAGTATAGCCCCTTCGTCGTGCATGTGTATCAAGTTCCTCGTCTTCCATTCTCAATCTGGCTCGCTCGCCCGCCCATTGCATTGTTCGACAGCTCAAGGCCGTGACATCAAAGGCATGACTAGCTGCTTACCTACCGTTCGCTATGCGAGCGGCATGGCCTGGAAGGCGGTGCAGTTGAACTCAGCCCGCGAACTGTTCACGACTGATTGTGTCGTGGTGAGCAAAGCGAGGCGGCTTGGGATGTGATGTGATGTGAACCAACAAAGTGGGCGGTGTAAAAGGCAAACGCAGGAGGATGATGGTTTGTACAAATGAAAACAAGGGGTAAGAGAAAAGGAAAGAACAAGACAAAACGACGAAACAGGTCGTTCCGAATGTTGTGTTGGTGCTTCCATGATACCACCGTCTAAAGCCGATAACCCTTTTTCTACAAGAACGCCGGAGAGAAAACAGTGTCGGATTTGGTAGATGCCAATGGGACGGAGAGATGACACGAGGCGTCATCATCATGTTGTGCAGGCATCTGGGACAAACAGGAGCCTACCAGCGACGGTTGCCGCCCATGGGGAGAGAGTTGGCGCCGCCACCGCCACCTATTGATAGAAACGGGGTTAGTGGAAAGAGCGACGACGAACATAGTTGCGGAAGATGGGGCAAGCAATCAAGGGAGAAACCGCTGGGTAAACTCACCACCACCGTGACGGCCGCCACCACCACCACCACCACCGCCGCGGCCACGGTAACCACCGTACCGGCCACCACCGCCGCCGCCGCCGTACCTCGCCATATCGGCAAGGCGGGGGTCGATTTCCTGCTTGGCCTCCTGGAGGACTCCCAAGAGGTCGCGAGCCTGCTTAGAGTCTGCGGGGAGTTGGGTCTGTGTCAGAATGTGCCTCAAGTTCGCACGTCAGTTGAGGAGGGGAGCAACTCACTATCAGAGGTAAAAAAGGTAATGGCGGTTCCCTTGGCTCCCGCACGACCAGTCCTGCCAATACGGTGAATGTAATCCTCCGAGTTATTGGGGTAGTCATAGTTGAGCACATGGGTAATGTTGCGCACGTCTTTTGGTCCGAGGTTGTCATGGTTAGCAGTCAGAAGTGAAGGGGTGTGTATAGCAACGCCCCAGCATGGGCCCAGGAACATATGTGCGGAGCTAGATATGTTCACTGCTGGCATCTTTTGGTACTTTCATCTCCTGGCAGATGGGCTATCCGTTTGCGGAAGTGTTTGCCGGGAATACTGTCCACGGTTGCTCTCCGGGGTCCTTGGGCCTTGGGGAATCTTGGAGACAGCTTGATGAGAAACCAAGAGATGCCGGTTCTACGCTTGTGCCGTGCAAGGAAAAGAGGCACAAGTGAAGAACCACGACCGTAGCGTAGCAGCAAGTCACGCTCACTGCTGGTGCTACGACACGGATCCAAGACTCCACTCTCCCTGACCGGAGCGACACTGAGGTCAAGCAAATTCGCGCAATCAAGAGAGCCCCTAGACATAAAGAGTAAAGCACAGCAGATATATGCTGGAAGTTGCCACACGAGGGGCAAAGGCGATGCGTGTCGGGGCACGACCTGTGGTCGCGGGGACGGGGGTAAAGATACATACCGATACCACGCGACGCGACGTCGGTGGCAACCATGATGGGGCTCTTGCCGGTCTTGAACTGGTCCAAGACCCAGTCGCGCTCGTTCTGCTGCTTGTCGCCATGGATGGCTGTGTTTGTGTGCATATTGTCAGCAAAACAGACCAAGATATAACCCAAGGTCACATAATAAGAGAACTTGGGAAGAAGTGGTACTCACAGAGTGCGGGCCAGCCATCCTGACGAAGGAACCTAGTAATCTCGTCTGCCACACGCTTCGTTCCGACGAAGATGAGAATCTTGTTGGCGCTCTCCTTGTTGTCCATGACCTTCTCCATGTGCCTGATCATGCGGTCGCGCTTCTCAGACTCTGAGACGACCTCGACGATCTGGGTGATGCGGTGGTTGGCAGACAGGTCCATGGATCCGATGTTGACCTGGATGAAGTCGTTGAGGAAGTCGGACGCGAGGTTGCGGACCTCCTTGGGCCAGGTAGCCGACCACATGAGAGTCTGACGGTCGGGACGAATCTGGCCAATGATCTTGCGGATCTGGGGCTCGAAACCCATGTCAAGCATGCGATCAGCCTCGTCAAGGACCAGGTACGTGACACGACGGAGGTTGGTCCTTCCGGATTCCAGCATGTCGATCAGGCGACCAGGTGTGGCAATGCAGACCTCGACACCGCGCGCAAGGTCGCGCGCCTGGGGGCCCTTGGGGACACCGCCGTAGACACACGTGTTGCGAATGCGGGACGACTTTCCAAACTTGGTGATCTCGGTCTGGATCTGAACAGCAAGCTCACGGGTAGGAGCTAGGACAAGGACGATGGGGCCGTCACCGGGAGCCAGGAGCGGCTGGGCGTTGATGTGAACGATGGCAGGGAGACAGTACGTAAGTGTCTTGCCCGAGCCGGTCTCGGCAATACCGACGACATCACGACCGCTCAGGGCCATGGGCCAGCCTTGGGACTGGATGGCCGTGGGCGCAGGGAAGCCCTGGGCCTTGACCTCATCCATGACGTATCGGGGGAAACCGGCCTCGTCGAAAGTCTCGACCGGCTTGGGGATGTCGGTACCGAACGTGGTCATGGCGTGGTCGCGACGAAACTTGTCAACCTCAGCAGCGGAGCGCTTGGCGACAGCATCGTCCTCCTTGTAGAAGGACTTCTCGAACTTGGGCATGGTGTTCAGGTCTGGGGGCACGGTTAGTCAAATGTTTGTCGAGACGCGTGTGTCAAGGAGGAGGACGCGATTGAAGACTCACCCCACTCCTGCTTCTGCAGTCCCGCGCCGAGGTTGGACATGCGGTCACCACCGCCGCCGCCAAAGCCGCCGCCTCCGCCGCCGTAGCCACCACCACCGCCTCCGTATCCGTTGGAGCCGCCTCTGTAGCCAGCATGACATGTTAGCATCTATCAGGCATCGAACGCGACCGACCACGATGGAGAGACCATCGGAATCGGCGCGCGCCATTATGGCAATCCAGAGTGCGATGGGGGGTGACCGTACCCGTACGAGTTTCCGTTGCCGCGGTCGTAACCGCCTCCATTAGAGTAGCCGCCGCCGCCGCCGCCACCACCACCGCGCGATCCGCCGTATCCGCCGCCGCCGTAAGACATTGTGTTGGGTATTAGGTGGCGATTTTAATCAAGGTGGTAAAGAGCCGCCTGCGTCGTTGGTACGATGAGGGCGGAAGAAAGAAGAAAAAGAAAGACACCAGGCAAACGTTCGCGTCCGACCCGACAGCGAAATCTCGCGCGTCCGATTGCAGTAGCGAAGATGGCCTGTATCAGAGAACTGTGGTGGATTTGGGAGCGATTCTAAATTCAGATGAGAATAGGCCGCAGATGTCCTGGTTGACGTGGTTGCACAGCCCTGGGGAGAAAAGGAAGGTGATGGATGTTGATGAGGAAATTGGAAATAAGCGACTGCAGAAGTGGCGGAGGAAGTTAACTGCCTTGGATTTTTTTTTCTTTCCCTGGGGCACCCTTCAGGCTCCATCCGATATGGGTCTCAAGGTTTGCATCCACTAGATTCGTTGGTTCCTATTAGACACGGCCTGGGCCCGCAGTGGGCCATGCACACTAGCCACAGCTGGTATCTTATCGGCTTGTCCAAGTCCCGTCCGCCATGACTCGCCCTCTGATTGTGAGGCTGAAGAACTAGCCTGTCCATGCCAATTGACACGTGATTCTCATGAACATCGCTGTAATCACACCCCCGTCGCAGGCGAGGACGGAAACATCTCCCAGAACGCAATCTCCATCTACAAGAGTGCTATGTTTAGTATAAAAACACTCACAAGGGAGTCTAGCTGACAGCCTGAGAAAATTCAAACCTTGACAGCGTGCTTGAACACCTGCACCAGTTCTTCGACCCTGGTCGGCGACTGCTGTATCGCGTGGCGTTCCAGCAGCTCTGAAAAGAGGTCAGCCTTGCGTTCAAGACATGAGTATCTGGCGCTTATGCGTGGGCCTGCCTACCTGAGCCTGTTTTGACGGCCAGCACGTAGTCGTCGGCGACGTAGTTCTGGATCCAGGACCAGTACGGATTCCCTTCTCTCTTAGAGTTTTGGTCGGCATGGAGATGTTGGGCGATGGCGCCGTAGCCCAGGAGGCAAGGCGCCAGAGCCACCTGCAGAGCAAGCCAATCCGAGGAGTGCCCCACGTCGAGAATGTATCTGAAGTTGCGGACGGGTCAGCCGAAACAAGCAACAAATAAACAGGCATCAACATACCTGCTGTAAGCAGTGCAGGCTGTCGTTGAAGACGGTTCTTTGGTCAGCTTTGGTCTCAGCAGCTCCAGGGGGGCCTCCGCGTTTCCCAGTTCGGTAACTAACTCGGATGCTCCTCTGCCCGCTCAATGTCCTCCCGCAGTAGCCCGAAGCTCTTGCAGTACTCCAGGTGCAGCCGAGTTTCACGGTCGATATGAAGGACGATAGCAGCGGACTTCAACAGAAAAGTTGGAAAGTGTTAGAGTGCCTACTATAGCTATGAGGCTATGCAACATCTTAATTCCAGGATATCAGGAGGCTGGGTTTGGTACGTACGGCAGCTATGTCTTTCATGTTTGCAGCCTTGTAGGCGGCCAGAGAGTTGGCCCGAGCGAACTGGATCTTGTGTGGGAGGGTTTGTGTCAGATATAATCACCTTCCTAGCACATCCGTTCTTGGCTTTCTCACCAGGTAAAGATAGTCCTGGACCAGATACGATTTGAAGGATTCAAGGGGCAGACTGGCATCGCCAAGTCCCATGACGAAGGGATGCCGGGTGTATCTTTGCCACAGCGGCGCCACGTCCGGACGCTCCAGGAGGTACTCGATGAAGTTGCCACTTTTTCCAGCAGAGTCAAATGGTATCAGCAGGGCAGGTTAACCACGGGCCTGGTGCCACTTCGGGTCGGACTGAACATACAGCGCGAACGGCTGAATCGACAGCGAGTGGAAGTGGCCCAAGGGCCCGTTTCCTTGGCCAAGACCAGGCGCGGCCTTGATGGCGGCCTCGATGTACCTGCATGCAGCCTTGACCGCGCGAGGCATCTCCATGCCGTTGGCGAGGTTTGCCGCAACGGCAGCTGCTCAGATCACACCGTCAGATTTCTGGACAAGTGAGAAAAGTAGATGGGACAGCAGATAGGACACCCACACGCTAGCGAGCAGCCAGTGCCGTGCGTGTGTCTGGAGTTTTGGTACGCAGACTCGATCTTGAGCACCTGGTTCCAAGGGCCGACGAGGACGTCGACGACGATGCGGCGATCATCGGGGTTCTCGACGACAGTGTAGTCCTTGCCCAGGGGTGCGTGGCCGCCCTTGACCAGGACCCAGTCGGGGCCGAGACCTTGGAGAGCACGGCCGATGACCTCCATATCGCCCACGGTCTTGACGGCCGGCGGCTCCTGGCCGGACCTCGTGAGGAGGAGGCTGGCCTCGGGGATGTTCGGGGTGAGCAGTGTGGTCTGCGGGAGGATGAGCGCCGTGAGCTGCGACGCCGCCGTCGGGGGCAGCAGCTGTGCCCCGGACGTGGCAACCATGACCTGCAAGGCGCGAGAGTGAGCAAACGGAAAAGGGGGCGGCGCGCGGGCCGTCCGCCACTGCGGTGGTGGTGAGCACGCACGGGGTCCACGACCAGCTTTCCCGACACGTCCCGCGTCCGGAGCGCCTCGGCCACCATCTCGATGGCCTCGACGGACGCGAGCATGCCCGTCTTGACGACGTCGACGCCGATGTCGTCGAAACAGGCATCTATCTGCTTCCGCACGAACTCCGGGGAGATATGGAAGATGTCGACGACCCCCTTGGTGTTTTGGGCCGTCAGGGCCGTCGTCGCCGTCATGGCATAGCAGCCGTGGGCCGCGAGCACTTTCTGGTCGGCCTCGAGTCCGCTGCCGGATGCATGTTAGCACCTTCCTACAGGATGTATGATGCTACTACATCCTTGAGTGGTAGCATGAGCCACCTGTATGGAGGGATTTACGAACGCGCCGCCGGAGCTGTCCGAGCCAGCGATTACAAGGACCCTCCCTTTGGTGGACATGACTGCCACTGCCGAAGAGAAATGCGACGATGCCGATCTGAGATGGTTTGTTGGGCAGTGGACGAAGGTATCAAGCGGGCTGCTGTCGATAAAGTTGTGAGGATGGAATAGATGACTGGAAGATAACCGGACTCCGGTTGTGGTTGATCGATAAAGGAGGCGGGGCACACTGATTCCTTGGCTATCTGGGTAGATTATTGTGTTTACGTTCGTGATTTGGGTTTAATCAATCTATCTTTCCTATTTTGTTTTTGATATTTTCGGAACCCCCCGATGCGAGGCCCGTCCATCCCGAAATCGCCGCAGTTGATTGATGTCAAATGTACGTTGAGGACCCAAGATGCTGGTCTTGGATGACGTTTGGGGATGCACCATGTCATTGGTCTGAGTCACACTGTGGCACACCTACGCCTCTGCAGGCCAACTAGATGCGGGATATAAATACGAACCCTACCACCTTACCGAGCATCTCGCGCATCATGTGGGCTGATCCAAGTTTCTTAGTGCAGTCTAGAATTGTCCTCGCCATATACCATCTATGGGCACTCCAGGATAAGACCTATCCGAAGTCCAAACAGCAGCGACAGATTTGCAAAGGTAAATGTCGATATCAGAGTTGCCATCCTCGCGAGGTCAGGATACCGAATATGTCCTCAAAATGGTACACGTAACGGCGGAAATAATACAGCAGAGATTCAAAAGACTCAAAAGCGCGCCTGTGCCCTCGGAATACCAAATCCAAGAAAAAGAGAAATACCCCCGCTCCGAAGGGAAGCAGGGAAAATGGAAATGCCGCCAACCCAAGGGGATCGAAATTATCGTCTGGCGAGCCCTCGCTCGGTAGCGATGGAACCGATAGCTGACCTTTTCGAAACTCTCCATACGATGTCTCCGAATGCCACGCAGCCTGTCATACCAGGCAACACGCCATTTACAGAAAGCGGCAAGAGAGCGGCGTAAATAATATTAACCAACGACGCATCTTTATCGAAGTGCCTCCTCCCGAACAGCGACGAAGTAAAGATCTCAAGACACAACGGGTGATGGTGATATTGCCGGGGGGCCTTGATATGGATATCTCGGAAGGAGCTGCGCTTATGAAGCGCTAGCTAGTATAGGAGGGTCGCTGATACTTCTTTGCCTCTCAGTGCGCCCGTCGTCGTCATATTCCTCCTCATCATCTGAGCTCTCATCATCATCATCGTCGTCGTCGTCGTCGTCGTCGTCTTCGTCGTCGTCACTATCCTCGTCCTCGGTGTCTCGTTCGCGTGGTGGTCTTTCTCCCTCTACATCGCGTGTCGGTTGCCCCTCGACTACTTGGTCGTCATCGCCGTCCTCCTCAAAAACGACGCGCCGGAGCACGCTCTTGTCAAACAGATCCAGTACCATGCGTGACGGTAGCCGGTAGTGGTGACATTCGAGCAGTGCCATGACCTTGCAGAAAACGCGGGGCTGGCGAAAGCCGGGTGCCTTCTTCTGGTGCTTCAACTGCATGAGCGACTGCATCGCCCGCTTCCAGAGCACCACGTTGCCGAGGTCGATGACGAGCTCGAGGATGCGCTGGTTCATCGGGTCGGTATCGAGCTCTACCTTGGCGTCCTGCCCGGCGTCGCTCCCAAGCGCGCTTATTATCGACTCGGAGCGCGGGCGGTTGGGCATCGCTGGCGGCTCCGACTGTATCGTCTTCTGACTGCTCGGGAGCCGAATAGATGCCGGCGTCTCGTGTCGCCATGGCTTCACTGAGAAGAACTTGGACAGATCCGAGGGGAGACAGAAGCCCAGTGACTCGCCCAGCATGTTCGTGTTGGAATCCCATCCATGTTCGGAAAGTATCTCGAGCCCGTGGATGGAGCGCGATATCAGCCCCAGCACAAAGAAGGCGGTGCCGCGCAGGCTCAGCATCTCATGCTCCTGTGCGATTTTGACAATGTGCTCCACCACGTCGCAGCTCTCGAGGAAGGGTGCGCCAAGCTCCATGGACCCGACGTTGCCGATGGCCCACAGACAGGCCTTGACCTTGACCATCATCTCGGCGTCGTCTGACTGCATCCCGTACTCGCGGATCGTGGTCACAAACTCGTCGAAGTGGCCCTTGTCCGCCAGCAGCTTACATCCCTCGCGCGTGCGCGTAAGCTCGCGGTAAAAGTGCGGGGGGATATGCGCGTCCGAGTCGGCGTCAGGTTCGTCCAACACGCTCATGCGACCGGCTTGGTCATCGGTGCTCTCCAGGAATGCGCGCCCTAGACTGGCCTCGATCAGGGCGACGTACGAGTCGTTGCGCCCCAGGAACCAATCGTCCATCTCGTTGCTGATATAGTCCAACCCGTCCAAGTAGTGATATCCGATGGAGCTCGACAGGAAGCGCAGTAGAAGTGGTGCCCCAATCTCTCCCAAATGGTCCAGGGCTGGACGGCACTCCACGAGATACTCTAGGTAGTCTTTTGTGTTGCATGCCTTCTCGAGTATCTTGACGGCGGTGGCGCAGACCTCCACGTCCGGGTCGTATAGCTGTGTCACCAGTAGTTGGATGGCCCACTTGAAGTCGACCATGTTCTGCGAGGGTGTGGGTTGCGCAAAGACGGAGCTGGCGTGCTTGGGCGCCGCCGTGTATTTGCGCAAGATGTTGGTGGCATGTATCCTGATATCCTTGGTGCCCGATGTTAGGGCTTTGGAAAGTAGCACACGCGGATGCCCTTGTAGGCTGTAGTCTAGGTTCGAGAGAAGCAGCTTGACCATGTCCGGCCGCTGCTTCAAGTCGACAATGTGATACATCATGTTGAAAATACGCCACCGGTCTAGCATTTGGAGGCCCTTGAGGTCGCTGCTCAGTACGCCGAGCATGGTGATGTAGCCGCCGCGCAGGGTGTCTGACAGACGGTCCTTGGAAAACATGAGAAACTGCGCAGAGATGCCGCTGGTCGGGTCGCACTGGGCAAGGCATTCTGCTATCTGTCGCAGCAGCTTGCTGTCCATCAAGTAGCGAACACCCTCGGGTGTCTGGAGGAATGTGTGCATGAGCGCGCACCCGGCGCGGATGTACTTTTGTGCGTTTCGCGTGTTGGGTACCTCGGAGAACTTGTACTTGAAGGGCCGGAAGAAATTGACGACGCGCTTGACGAACTTTGACGCCTTGAGCGCCTCCTCGAGTCGTTTTCCGCTAGTCAGGGGCCCTTCAATAATCCTCAGCACCACGTCCCACCTCCACTTGTTGTAGTTGGAGCTACTGAGAACAGCCGATTCGATGAGCAGCTGGCGGAACGTCGCGTCATCCAAGTTTGCCGAAGTGTTGGTCCTCGGCTGCTCGTCGGCCGCGAGGGCGGTTTCGATGGTCGACGGGACAGATGGGGACCAGGTCGAGGGCGACGAGCGGTGAAGTGTTTTGCTGATGCTACTGATTTGGTACACCATTCCGGTGGCGATGAAGTGCTCATCCTCGTCGAAGCGCGCTGCAGCGGCGAACAGCTCTGGGAGGAGTTGTAGTTCGTTGCTCCACGAAGGCGGCAGCAGACGGCTGGAGAGCCGCAGGACTTCGCCGATGAGGAGCGTGGTCTTGCGCTTGAGCATCGGGCTCTCGGCGTCCCTAACTAGCCCTAGCAGGGCGGGAAGGAGCCCGTTCTTGATGAAAATAGCCAATAGGAGCGCCGTGTAGTGCTCCACAAAGTTCTGCTCCCCTGCGTCGTCTTCAACATAACTGCTCGGACTTTTGAGCGGTGCTGATTTCAGGTTGGCTACCCTACCGTAGGTTGTAAGTCGCCGGCCAGCTAAGAATGAGCTTGCCCATGCCGGTGATTTGATGCGCAAAAGCGAGTACAGCAACTCCACGACCGACTCCCGAATGGGCTCGCTTGGGAGCACCAAGCTGCCCACAAGAGACCTGACAGCCCTGAAGTTGTACATGGACAGAGCCAGGAGACCGGACCAGGTCTTGAGGGCCGTCGCGATGGCTCTGGAGTTTTGCTTCAGGAGTTTTTCGTTGGCCACGAACTGGTCTGTGAAGACGGTGAACAGAACCTCAAGCTCATATCCAGGTCTCAAGTACTTGCGTCTCTGAGGGGAGTCGAGGAGGTAGAGTAACACGCCTGTGAGACTCTCGGGCGACTTGTAGGAACCGTCTCCCATGGCTTCGGACAGAGACCCCAGGCCGCCGCAGCTTACGAGAAGTGGCGGATCCTTGATGAGGATCTCGGCCAGGGTCTCGAGGCATATCGAACGGAGCCTGTCTTCGGGCTGTTCCGCCACCGCGGCAATTGTGCGGACAACAGCTCTCGAGAGCTCTCGAACCCCATCCTTGACGTCCAGGAATGCACGAACAAACTTGAGCGCCTGCTCTCGCTCGAGGTCTGCCTTGCGGTCCTTGCTCAGGGAACTATGGCGGGAAGAAACAGCAAAGGCCCAAGTGTTAGCGATGTGGAGGACGGCAGCAAAGGCCAGCTTGTGCGACAAATGCCAAAAGCCCAGTGCAAGGAGGAGCCTTACTGGACCACAATGTAGTCGGTGTTGAGGGTCCGGATTTTCTTGAGCGACGAAACGTCGGATATGGCGTATCTCGTCATCCTGTAGCTGGCCGCGACAACCTCCCTGCTGTCGCTCAACAGCATTGCCTGGGTCCTCAACCCGAACACAGACCATACCAGGTCGTATTTGAGAGTGGGATGCCTCTTGAACAGGTCGACAAGATTGTTGGCTCGGCCGACGTAGTAGGCAGGATTCATGCCATCGACCTCGAGGGCTTGCAGGATCTCGGCCAGAGCGAAGGTGGGAGACTCGGTGGGCTCGTCGAGGTCGGAGCCAGCCCCGCTGCGAGAAGCACTCCTCGGCGATCTTAGACCGGTGCTGCTCTGAAAGACGACGTCGGCGCGTGTCCGGGAAGGGGTCAGGGGAGTGGTGCGGCTTTGCTCCGCCTCTGCTATCCTGTCGGTGAGGAGCCTGATCCTCTGGTTGGATGCTTTGAGCTCGGCCTCGACCCTCTGGCGCTGATCTTTGGCCTGTTTGGCCTTCTTGGAGTTGAGGGCCTCCAACATGTTCTCGCTACCTTCTTTGATCTTGATCTCCCGCTTGAGGGTCTCACGGAGAGAGGCGAGGTTTTTTTCGGCAGCGCCATCGTCCTCGCCCTCGTTCAAACGGTCCATGGCGCCATACCCCTCGCCCCCTCTCGAGACAGCACGCGAGGACACGGCAGAGGCATGGCTACGCAGATCGGAGCTGAAGCTGCCAGGGCCGGTGAGTTGATTCATTGAGAGGCCCCGCGAGGAGAAGCTCACGGAGGAGGTTGACAAGGTGCTAGGGCGGACGCTGGAGGCGCCATTGGGGCCGCCAGCCGCGGGGGATAGCAGGGCATCGCGGTCGAGGCTGGGGCGCGTGTTCAGCGGGCTGATGGGGCCCGGGGTCGGCTGAGACGCGAATGATTTTTGTGTGGGCGTTGCGGATGCGCCCAGCATTGGCGATGGCCCGGCCATGTGTCCTCCGCACAAGTCCCCCGAGGGGCAAACATCCGAAGGGTGCTATTTCATGCACCGACCAGGGAAGAGCTGCCGCGCGCGCCAAGAGACGGTCGAGAGGGACTCCGATATCGTGGGCCAGGGGTCGGGATCGTCGAGCACTCGGCCGAGGCTGTCGAAGGTCGGACGATACGAGGGGCGGGGGAGGTTGGCCGATGTAGCGAGTCGGCGGCCGGTGAGGAGGTGTACGATATACTACCTAGCCTAGGAGACGGGGGAGAATCTACAGTGGCCAGGAGCCGGTCCAGTAACGGTTAGATTCCGGGATGTCGTATCGTAGATGGTTGGGGGCAGAGTCGGAGGAGTGGGTGGCAGAGTGAGGAGGAGCAGCGGCTAGAGGTGAATCCCAACCTCTAGCTAAAGCCTTCCTCGTCGCGAGGTTCCGGCCTGGAGACCAGCAGCACGCGATGCCGGCGCAGGAAAAAGGCCAGGCTCACACCCACAGCAGCACGCAGGAGATGGACTGTCGATGGGGTCGGGAGAGGGTGGAGGGAGGACTGGGCATGTCTGGTAGCAGCTAGACCTCGGCTGCGGAACCTACCTCCCTGCTGCACGTGCGATGGCCTAGGGGAGGTCTCAATCCGGCACGCCGTTCTTGCTTCTTGGAGTGCTGCGATTGCCTAGATGGGATTGACGGGCTGGATTCGCATGGAGATTGGGCCAGATGGGGCTCAAAATTCCATGTAGCACACACACCAGACCCAGCACTGAGCTGGCACAGAACCCCAACCCACCAGGCCAACCCGGCCCAGTGAGGCCAATTCAGGACGCTGCGGGGCGCCGGTCTTGGCTGAGGGGAGGGGGCAGCGCAGGCGGGACGACTCACTGCTGCGGGCAGAAATAAAATAGACAGCCAGCACAGGGCGGCTGCGTACTAGCTGAGCAGCAATGACATCTAATTGATGGATCAAGGTGAGTACCACCTCATCGGGGAACAGCAGGGCCACCCGAGCAACCACAGCAGTCAGGATGGTAGGGACGAATACTGCTCAGTGCCCAATCGTAAATCCGGGTGGCGAGTGGAGACCAGCATGCCAGCGTGCGTGGTCAGGGCGTTACCGCAGAAGCATTCGGCGGGTTCCGGCTGCAGCCCGCTGGCCAGGGCTTAAGCAGCGGCGTGGACAATGGTGAAGCCGGCGGCACCCTGCGGACCCTGGCCGGTGTCCATCGAACCATGCAGGCCTGGACCCGTTGCGAGAGCACGAGGCGGGATAAGCAGCACTGAAGTGAGCCAATGCCGGGGACGCCTTCCCCCGTGACTAGGCCAAACCCGCTCTGAGCCGATGGAGGGCGACCTCGGTCACCCACCATGCGCCAACACTCTTGCTGTGTGTCCAAGGTGAAGGCGTCAAGCGTAGGTATATAAGCGCCATAGCCTGCACGCCCGTCTGTCTGGCTGTCTGGCTCTCCATCCATCTTCTGTCTACATCGCCCAAACACTGCTGCACTCCCCCGCACACCCCCATCCATCGCAGCTCGCCGTCCCCTACTGCATGCTGCCGGGTTATCAAATCCCACCCTACCGCCTCTCTAGCCAAAGCCTCCACCAGCACACAGGCTCATCCAGCCACCTGACCAACTCGGACGCAGTATTCTTACCGCCAGTCGTACCAGTCACGTCGTAGAAAGCATAGACAAACTTTCTTGAGAGTCGTGCTCTTTCACGACTGCACCTCCAGCACCTTTCCTGTCGCCTCCTTTGCATACCCACAAGCACAATCCAGCCCCCTTCCGCCATGCCTACACTTTCCTCGGCCCGCTACGGCAAGGACAATGTCCGTGTCTGCAAGGTTCACAGGGACGCCGAGACGGGTAGGCAAGATGTCAGTGAGATGACCGTGTGCTGTCTGCTCGAGGGGGATATTGAGACATCGTAAGCAAGCAAAGCAAGCGCAAATGCCATCCAGACAGCACAGGTCAGCTGACAGACAAGCAGATACACCAAGGCCGACAACAGCGTCGTTGTGGCCACCGACTCCATCAAGAACACCATCTACATCAAGGCCAAGGAGACCCCAGTTAACCCCCCGGAGCTGTACGCTAGCACCCTGGGTCAGCACTTTATCGACAAGTACAGCCACATACACACGGCCCACGTCAAGGTCGTCGTACACCGCTGGACCCGCATGACCATCGATGGCCAGCCGCACCCCCACTCCTTCTTCCGCGACGGCCAGGAGACCCGCACCGTCGAGGCCACGGTCCGCCGCGGCGCCGGCATCGCCGTCCGCAGCGGCATAGTCGGCCTGACGGTGCTCAAGAGCACCGGCTCCGCCTTCCACGGCTTCATCCGCGACGAGTTCACCACCCTGGGCGAGACCTGGGACCGCATCCTGTCCACCGACGTCGACTGCGGCTGGACGTGGAAGGCCATGCCCGACCTGGCCGCCGTCGGCGCCGCCGCGGCCCAGTTCGACAAGGCCTGGGAGGACGCGAGGGCCATCACCATGAAGACCTTTGCCAACGACGCGAGCGCCTCGGTACAAAACACCATGTACAAGATGTGCGAGCTGATCCTCGAGGCCGCACCGGGGGCCGAGAAGGCCGACTACTCGCTCCCTAACAAGCACTACTTTGAGATTGGTGAGTGTCTGGCTTGTTCGCCCTCCTCCCCACAAACCTGTTGGTTGTTGCCTGTTGGTTGTTTTCTGACCCCGCATCTCCTCCATCTGCAGACCTCAGCTGGCACCAGGGATTGGCAAACACCGGCAAGGACGCCGAGGTTTACGCTCCCCAGTCAGGACCGAATGGTCTTATCAAGTGTGAGGTTTCTCGCTGAAAAGCAAGGCGAGGACCATTCAGAGCTAGATGTGGCACGTTGTCTCGTTACGCGAGACTTTACACGGCTGGATATATCAAGGTACATTGTTGCACAGACTGAGGTGCAGGGTTCGATAGACTGACATCAGCTATGAATTTATAATCCCGAATACATGTTTTGCAAGCTATTCCCATTGCACGCCATATAACGCCGTCTCAACAATGCCTGACCTCGGTAGATATGGCAGATCATACCCGAGCAGTTGCTTTTGGTTGGGACTTGACAACGCTGGAAGACTCAGTTAACGCTGTTCACAAGTAAATTTTTACACATTGTGATGGCACCATATCCTCTATGTTACACGAGCTCCGCCTTGCACAGAGCTTTGGTCTTGAAAACGGGGCACAACAAAGCGATGAAGACTAGACTCGACCCTTTCAAGGGCACGCACTTTGTCGCCGTAGCTGACGTCGACTTGCGCCGCCATGGCACCGTTTCTTGCTGGTCCGCATGACTCCATTCTCCAAACCCCCGCCTTCATATCCTCGACTTGTCCGCCTCCCTCACGGCCTGGACTATGCTCTCCCACCCCGGGGACCCCACCGGCTTATCCCCGAACCGTATCAAATTCTCGCGGTACGGGTGCGCGTCGCCCTCAAAGGCCTTTAGCCTCGCCAGCCTCTTCTGGCGCAGGCGGTTCTTGGGCAGCATGCCGCTGACGGCCTTTCGCAGGACCTCGGCGCCGCCGAGCTTGTCCATCAGCACGTCCATGGTGAGGGCGCGCAGGGAGCCCGGGCGCGTGTTGTGCCTGTAGTAGGTCTTGCGGTACTTCTTCATGCCCGTCGTGTAGAGGGCCGCGCAGTTGGTCACGACCACGTAGTCGCCGCAGTCGGTCGACGGGTCCCAGATGGGCTTGTGCTTGCCCATCAGGATGGTGGCGATGCGCGACGCCAGCCGCCCGAGCGACGGCGGAGTGGCCGCCTCGGGCGCGGCGGCGCTCTTGGCAGTCGAAAGGGCCGCGTGCGGCGCCGACGCCGACACGTGGTGCCACACGCGCGAGTAGGCCAGCCGCGTCTGTCCGAGAGAGACACGGTGAGCTAGGGGGAGCGGCAATCGACGGGTTCGGCACGTGGAGTGTGTCGATGACTTACCAGCCCAATGGTTTGTGACATTCTGGCGGCTTTCTCGTTTCTCCCCTCCTCTTGTCCCCGCGGATTGTCTGTCGATTGCGCTCCCAGTGGTCGGGGTATCCGCCGCCTCCTCCTTCCTCCCTTTAGACAGCCGGACAGACTCGGCTGTATATCCGAAGTCCTGGGCTGAGAGTTGTGTGGGCAGATGCTATCCGCTTGGAAATGCCCGGTTATCTGTGATGCGAAAATCGAGCTCTCGCCGACAACGCTCGGTTATAGCAATAATATGTGGCATGGAGGCTGCCATGGTGGATGTATTCACTAAACGGGACGGTAAGATAGGCTGATAAGAACTGAAAGTTGACCATTTGCCCCACACCGCGGGCAAGCCCGCACTCAGCACCATCTCTAACCCAAGCCTAGCTCGAATGCACTGTAGGTCAACTGGAGGATACAGTCGGCGAGATCGGATGAATGAGGCCGTGTGCGGGTTGGTGGGGGTGCTCATGGGATGACGAAAAGCCCGACGTATGCAATCATTGAGGCGTGTATTTCAAAGCAATAGGCATTCTCTAGAACCGTGGCGGGACAGCCCCCAACACCTGACAAACAGGATATAAAAACCTCGAGGTCCTTCAGCACCCGACTGCAAACTGATCAGTCTAGATCCACAGATTTCGTCGACTCAAGGCATATCGATATCGCTATATTGTGCACCACTGTCGAATAACCAAAACCACTCGGTGATTCACTCCTATATCGCTCAACCCCTCTTATCCTCGTTTTTGTCACCCGCTCACCAACCAAGGCCCCTTCACCATGACTGTTAATCACTCATTCCAGGTGAGTGGCTCAATTGGATTGGCTTCCTTGCTCAGGCATCAGAGCCCTGGCGCCACGCTTTGAGGCTTCCATTGCAAGCACAGGGTTCCCATTTCAAAGGCTGAGACGAAAGGATGACCAACAGACGCTGTTCGCTGTGCCTATGAAATGTGACAGCTGCGTCAAGGATGTTTCAGAGGCGGTACACAAGCTTAGCGGCATCACCAAGGTAGAGGCTAGCCTGGCAGACCAGCTGGTCGTGATCGAAGGGACAGGTCCGTTCTCGACCAACCCCAGGGCACAGCCCCATCATGGCTGCTGTCATCCCTTCTCCCTAGTTGGCAGATGGTCTGGGCAGAGGCAGCTAAACAAGGGGCCGAGGGATAGCGCCACCATCGGCCATCGTGGACGCCATCCAGGCTACTGGCAGGGACGCCATCCTACGCGGGTCGGGATCGTCGGATAGTAAGTGTCAAGACCAGCCACCATCCGACTCCCTGCTATGAATATCTTCCTTTTTCGCCGCAGAGGCCGAAACGAGACTACTCACCAATCCGTCATGCCAAGGTGCCGCTGTCAGTATCCTCGAGACATACCAGCACCTGAACCTGAATGAAACGCCCGAGGAGAGACACAAGCGGGAGAGGGAGGTCAGGGGCTTGGCGCGGATGGTCCAGGTGTCCCCGGCGGTGACGCTGGTCGACCTGACAGTCCGAGGCGTCTCCCCGGGCCAGTATCGAGTGACTGTGCGCGAGTATGGCGACCTGAAGGACGGTGCACTATCCGCCGGGCCCATCTGGTCCGGGGCCGGGGCCGCCCCCGGGCCCTCGCCGGAGGGCCCTGCCAGCATACCCAGGGGTGTCCTCGGGGTGGTGCAGGTGGACAAGAGCGGCCGCGGCAGCGCCTACCTGGAGAGCGGGTTCCAGGTCTGGGAGGTCATTGGCCACGCCATGATGGTGTGCCCCCTGGATGAGACGACGGGCGAGAGGCCCAAGAATAACGCGGACACTGTGGTTGGTGTCATTGCCCGGAGCGCTGGCATGTGGGGTAACGACAAGGCCGTCTGCGCCTGCTCAGGCAAAACGATATGGGAGGAGCGGACGGACGAGGTGCAAAAGGGCATGTTCTAGCCGACGACGTCCCCCAGGGAGACGACCGCAAGGGCCACCTGATGTCCATCTGCCCGGTGGCTGACGTTCCTTGTGGGCGCGCGCGGCGCCTTGTCCCGGCTACGAGGGAGGGGATGCTCGGGCCACGAGTCATCCAAACACCCAAAAGGCGCAGGATAATAATAACACACAGACACACAAACAGAAAAAGAATGGCAAAGAAGAAATCCGCCATTCTGGCTATTTTGATGCTGATCCCTCTACAGACAAGAAACAACCCGCTCTGTCCCACCATTCGCAGACCGGAAGGCAAGCGGCAGTGACGGACAGCAAGGGACTTGAGACGAAGTCCCTGTCCACACCTGCCTGCTGGCTGGGGCGGCGGCGGCGGGGTGGAGATGGGTCAATGCTTGGGTAGCAGCGCGCGCCAGCATGATGGGCGAGCCAAGGGGGGGACCCAGTCGGGAAGGACGCTGATCGCGCATTGAGTTTGGTCTGAAGAGGCTACGACTTGGGTGCCGGCGTGGTAAGATCTACGATAGGAGGAGGGCAGGGGTGTGGGGGAGAAGGATCGAGTCCGGGAATAAGATTAAGGGAGCCGAAAGAAAGAGAGAAAAAAAAAGGAAGAATATCGTAAAGGCGAAAGACAGCTCTGGATCGCCTCGAGCCCATCCGGACATGGGCCCTGGATCGAAGGAGCCGCACACGGGCATGGGCAAGGATGGAAGAATCTCGGTTGGAGAGCCAAGGCTGAAGCAAAACGATGGCCCATTGGTTTTTACCAGTTTCTTCTTTGCTCCATTCTTTCTTTTTTCCCCGATGCAGCTTGTTTTGTGTGCTTTTGCCGCTGTTTGTCAGTGGTGTTTTGGAACTTGGGTTTCCTGGGTGACAAAGTTGTACGGCTGATATTTTTGTTCCTTTTTTCTTTCTTTCCTTTTTTACTCTTCTCTTTCTCCTTTCCTACTAGTCCTCGCTTAAACAGTAACCTTATTCTTATCGAGCAGCCCCTGATTGACCCCCCCTCGGTTGCTCCAGGACATGAAAATTGGTGCGTACTGTTACGGGCTGAGGGCCCGTGTTGTAGCTCCGGCTATGCCGGAGCCACACCGCCACACCTGGGCGGCGATGCCGCGGAAACCCCAACATGGCGGCGCCCCCGCAGCGACCCACCAGGAGACTGACTGGGTTTTCTCCCTCGTGAGGAAACCCGGCCAAAGGCCTCTTTTCTCTTTCCTATTCTTCGTGATAATATAGATTCCTTTCGGCTGCACCTGAGCGTAGGCTGTCGGCGCAAGCCCTTTACACGTACCAACATCTCTGGATCGAGGCGTGCTAAGGGGTAAATTTCCCGATGACGAGAACCTGTCAATGGCCTTTCTCATCCGCTCGAGGTTCACTAGCCTCGGGTGAGAGGGCAGGCGCACGGTGTCCATTGCCGTGGCCCGTCTTGTCTCCTAAAAACAGGCTTGACAACTTGGCAAGTTTCGGAATCGTCCGCCACAGCACAACGCACCTCATACCCCACTTGCCGAGCCGGAGGAGTTACCCAAATCCAGGTATGCTTACTTTGCCGCGCCGGCAGAAATGTTCCATTCGAATCCCTCCCGTGCACAGCAAATGAAGCGCGAGGGTTCTGGACAAGCAGGCACACTAATAGAACATCGGAGCTATTTATCCGGCTACTGTAGGGGTGTGCCCTCTTTCGACTGGTCGTCACGCAGCAGAAAAAGAAGGTATGCTAGTCTGTTCGCTCGTTGGTTGGGCTCGGCACGTGTTTAGGTCGCGTCCAGGTCAGGCACAAGACAGACGGCTGATCGGGGGGTGGTGCGGAGTGCATACATGCATATGTGCACTTTTCACGCCCAACCAATCCTGCCAGACCAACGGGCTGCTTTAGCGACGATTGCCTCCGGCACCACCTCCCGTCCCTGTCACATCGCGCTGATTGCCCCGAGCCATGTGGCAGCGAGACTGGTCACCGCCGCACGCACAGCTGGCCGGCGCTTCGGATTTCAGCACCCAGCACGCCCAAGGTGGTGGGTACCAGGCTGGTACTGTAGTGCTGCACCTCCATGTTCGCCACGGCGGCCACTACCTGCCTGCCACCCTTGCCACCTTGGCACTTTGCACATCACCACTGCCGCACCGCCAGCCTGTCCACGATCGTGACGTAGCACTGAGGGCGTTAAGCTATCTGATCCCAACACAGGACGAAGCGCCCGGGGAGGACTCCGTCTGTGATTGAATGGTCGCAAGCCATCTCAGATACGGAGGCGTTGTAAACGATTTCACCAGCGAATCCCGACGAATCCAGGTAAAGATCTGAGAAATCGACCCACCATGTGCCCACCCGTTAGCTGAGTTGGGCGCAGACGGCGCCAGGGCTGGCTGACACAAACGTCTTTCGCGCGATTTTCGGCGCGGCGAACATGCTTGGCTGGACGATATCGACTTATGAACGTCTCAGCCCTGGCCCCCGGACGCGCAAAGCGCGCACGGCGTGACAACCTAATGAATGCGTAGTCAAGCGGAGGCAAGGCGTCGTCACCAATATCACATGCACGCCTGGGATCTTGATACAAGGCTTTACAGAGTAAACTAAAGCTTGCTCTGGTCCTCGTCCCTTGCAGGTGGTCGTGACAGACTGAAATGGTGTCCTTCGCGGGAACGTCACTGCAGTGCCGCACGTAAAGTAGCCCTGCAGGCCTAACATCACAGCACACTTTTTTTTCTTATTCTTTTATTTTAATTTTAATTTTTTTTTAGGTGGATATTCTCCTCTTTCGAGCATCCTATGCCCTGTAGTTCCCAAGCCCGGCTGTGTCTTTCCGGTACCCGAATGTGCCATCAACCCATGCCGGATGCGCTCCTCAGCATCGTTCGCTAGCCTCTTCGCATGCGGAAAAGGGGAAAGAAAAAGGAAAGATGGGATTCTTGCCAGCTCCGTGGATGGGATTTCAAGTTGTTCGGACCAGGGGATGAGGTGACACTGGCGGGCCTTGCACGACTAAAGCAAGCAACAATATCCCCATCGGGCTTGCTTAGCGTGCCCAGCTCGTCGATAAAGTCCACCTCAGTGGCTGCTTGATCCATTGCGGTCGAGTCTGGCCGGGCAGACGGCGGACCGCACCCTGAAGTGCGGGTTTGCACGTCCTTTGCTCCTGGCTGCTAGCCGCCCTTTGGAACGCCTCATGTAGGAGATGGGGCGCCGCCGGCCAATGAGACCCCGGTCTTGAATCTTGGAACGCTTGGTGGTTTTGGGAGATAGGGGTCCGGTTCGCATAAGTTCCAAGATGCCTGGCGGCGCACCCATCCCGCATTGACTGGGGTAGAAACGTTGTGATTTCTGGCGCGGCTACGTTGCGGGCTGCGGGCTTGCTGCCAGGGCCTCCCCCATCGCCCTCACTCCCAACGGGGATAAGGTATTCAGTATTGTCGTCAACTTGCCCACGGGAAGCAATGTCGGGCAACAAAGCCATTCGCCTCGACGACCCACCCCCACGATATGGAGGAGCCACCAAAAATACATACACACATCCCCATTGATGTCTCGACGACTTACTGTCTGTGGAGGCGGGTGCCTGGGATGCGCCCGACTTGATAATCAGACTTCATGTCTGCTCCTCGCTTACTTGCTACGACGAGGCTTGTCGAGGGCATAAACGTACTCACCGAAGCGAGGCGCAGCAGGTGGGCGAATCCCACACCGTGTTTGTGCTCGCACTGCGGGAGAGCGACAGGGGCGGGGGGCCGCACGAGTCGTCGCTGTTTGCCCTTGATGTGCGCGTCCGCCACCGCTGAGCCATGGAGGGCCCAGCTCCAGTCTCAATAGTCGTGACTGTGCGTGGCTTGCTGGCTGACTGGTCTCGCTCGCCTTGCAACCCAGGCATGACCACATATTCATCCTCCCCACAACCTTGTGCCTAAAAACAATGCCAAGCATTTTAGGTCCCGTTCCACGAATGGGTGCTAATAACCCGGGAGTGTTCAGGGACGGTGCGGGCTTCACATGAGCCCAAGTCGCTTCGCGTGCCGTGTGTCTTTTGGCCTGGGTGAGGCCCAGGCCCTATCATGGCTCTAGCCGCCGGGACGAGAGGGCGGGAGGCTGGGTGATGTGATTCAATGTGTGCGGTCGGTATTGGATGGCTGCCGACTGCAAGCGCTGGGAGCGAGCAAGGGATCACGTCTGGCCGCCGGCCGGCCGAATAAACCAAGTTTGTGCGCGCAACAGCCACTAGCCAGCCCGGCCGCGACTTTGACTGCTGCCCGCCAGTCTGTGCCCCCTGTCGGCCCTCGCGGCATCGCTGAGGTGGAGGGGGGGTTTGGAACGTTCGACCCCCGGAGCAGCGCCCGGGCCAGGTGGTTCGATAAAGAATAGGCAAACGTGCGACTTTAGGCCCCTTGAACGGTTGACAGCCAGCCATAAGGCCCCAGATTATCCGCATGTCTTCCGGAGAAACATCGACCGAGAGACAGATATAGTGCTCGCGGTACATGCCCGCTTCCACACTCGCATAGGGCGAGGAGGCAACACTTCGTGTGTTTTTCCCTGTGGGATACCCCACCTGGTAGGTATCATCTCCTGGTAGGCGTCACCGGGGGACGTTGGCAGATGCGGTGGGCCACCAGCTATGTATCAGTCGGCCCTCCTGTCCATACACACCTACAAGGGATTCACAGGGCTAAGCAGTCGATCTCCCTCTGGGCACGGAAGGGGGACGGATATTCCGACGCTGCACTTCATGTCCATGTACCTGGGGATCGACCTGGAGGCGTCGCTCCCTCGGGGATGGCCGTCGTCGAGGCCGTCGAGGCCGTCGAGGCCAAGGCGAGATGGCAACGCCGGTTGCTACACTCCGCACATCGGGCCTGGCGTAGCAGCCCAGTCGGCCTCCCCCCCTGAAAGCCTGACGCAGACGCTCAAGCCACAGCGGCGCCGTTGGAAACACCAGCCCTGCCCCCCTCCCCTGACCACAATGGTCGTGGTTGGTCTTCCGGTCTTTTTTCGGGGCAAGGACTGGGGCTCCACTGGACCCAGCTGCACGCCCTCCTGAAATCCGTGGACAGCAGGGGAGCGGGCGCACGTTTGTGGCCGTCATGGGCCTTGCTCGCCCACAACACACAGCTCTTTGGTCCAGCCGCTAAGCCCCACCGTCGTCGCCAGAAACGAGGGAGACCCAGGGTGCTGGCATTGATGCGTCTCCGTATCTACGTCGTAGATTGTTTCCGCCCGGCACTCGACGTCTGTATGTTCCATTCATGCCCTTTTCGATCTTCCCTATGCGTCTTTCCCTCCTTCTTTTCCCCGCTGCCGGTAGACGCTAGGTTGCCACACTCGTCTTCCGTATCATCCCGCCAACAGCAACATCGTCGAAGTGAGAGTCGACGTGACGGGCAGTCAGAGACGGACAGACAGACGCAAGCGTCAGGAAGCGAGATCGCATGTTGCTCGCTTACTACCGGTCCTCCAGCCGACACTAAACCTACATCTAATACCGTGCCCGCGAGCGAGGCCTAAAACCCAATATCACCCACGCCACCAACGGCAATAATCCTATTCCTTCTGGGCCACTACAGCCGTTGCGAGCAACTGCTTAGGTACAGGTACTACAAGGCGGCTATTTTTCGGGGACACACACGTACTGTACCTTACCGTGCTCGCATTCCGTTCCCTCGTCGCCTCCATTTTCTCGACTCTCCTCTTTTTTTCTTCTTCGCTCTCTTTGTCGTCTTCTTCCCTGCTCAACTAGAAAAGCGGTCTGGTACCCCCGAAGGCTCGAGGTGTGGTAGGTTGACCCTTTTGGTTTGATTCCCACTTTCATTTATCGCCCACTTGGCGTGCCTCTTTTGGTCACTGCTCGCATCTCATCACACAAGCACCTCGGCGCTTTCGTTGTCACCCCAAAAGGCTAACCGGCAAGCCGACCACACGCACACGCGCGCACACACAGACGCACATCAGGCCGAGATTAGTCTCCTTGCCGCCGCCCTAAATCTCTACCTTTCGATCGACCCAACGACCTCATCCGACCCCAGGGAGGCATGGCAAGCTGCTAGCCCGTCTTGACAGAAAAAAGACAAGCACCCGCGGCTCAGCTCTCTCTATCGAGCCACTCGCCTGCGACCACTCGCCCGCCAAGACCACACTAAATTTGCTGCATCCGCTGGCACTGGAACACTGCGGGGCCACACGATCGGGGACCAAGCGACGGACGAGGAGGGAGCAAAAAGAAAAAAAAAGCGGGGAGCCTCCCTGTCTCGGAACTGCGTGCTGCTCCACCACTAGCTCTGCTGGCTGGCCCGACCTTGGATTCTTATTAACCCAAAAATTCCCCAACCCACCCCCCTGGCCTGCCTGCTGCAAAGCCCGCACGCTGCTGCTGCACCACCATACCTCATCCACTTACACCCGCCGCTCCGAATCGTCCACCGCACAACCACGCTGGACACGACGAGCGAGGTGCGACGGACTGTGCCTTCACCTTGAGCAGGCCCCAAAAGCCTTCCTGACCAGACAGACTCCTGAAGAAATTGCCGGGCAATTGATTTGGCGACATGTCGCTCAAGCAGGTTCGTATCCGCGACCCCTCCTTCGCATGCTCATCGTCGCTATAACCGTCGCCGTCTGCGCTGCTAACCACGTTCGCCTCTCGCCACAGGAAATAGAAGCCTGGGTCACGGCCCTGGGCCGCTACGACAACAATGAGTTCGAGGACGCTCTGGGCGAGTTCGACAAGATCTCGGACACCTCCAAGATCCTTTTCAACATGGGCGTCATCCATGCCACGCTCGGCGAGCACGAGAAGGCCGTACGTCTTTTTCCCTCTTGCCCTCCCACCCTCCCATTCACTTGCCGCCCTGTTTGCTCGCTGCCCCAATTGGGGTCTCGAGCCTGGGCTTCAACCAACGCAGGTTTACTGACATGGCCTTGTTATTATTTAGGTCGAGTGCTACCAAAGAGCCATCAAGCTGGACCAGTACCTAGCAGTGGCTTATTTCCAGCAGGGTGTCTCCAACTTTCTGCTCGGTGACTTTGAGGAGGCCCTCGCAAACTTCAACGACACCCTGCTCTACCTCCGGGGCAACACCATGATTGACTATGCCCAGCTCGGACTTCTGTTCAAGCTGTACTCGTGCGAGGTGTTGTTTAACCGTGGCCTGTGCTATATCTATCTCCAACAGAAGGACGCCGGTCTGCAGGATCTGAACTACGCCGTCAAAGAGAAGGTGGTTGAGGACCACAACGTCATCGACGACGCCATCCGCGAGGAGGCAGAGGTAATTACTACACCAGGCGATTCTAACCTTGACGACCACGAAGGACCAGAGGGGCAGCTCGCTGACAGGATAACCCGCCAGGGCTACACGGTGTTTTCCATCCCCGTCGGTGTAGTGTACAGACCCAACGATGCCAAGGTGCGGAACTTGAAGACGAAGGATTACCTCGGTAAGGCGCGCCTGGTCGCTGCGTCGGACAGAGCCAACGCCTTCACTGGCTTTGCCGGCTCCGAGATCAAGAACGCCGGCAAGACCGACGTCAAGGACGACCGCCCGGCCGACAACATCTCCTTCGCGGCCACGAACCTAGTCAAGCCCGGCCTGCAGAGCCGCAGGCAACAATCCGAGCCGCCCAACGGCAGGAATAATGTCTTCCCTCCCACCCCGCCGCCCGAGAACGACAAGCCGACGACCATGAGCCGCGGAGCCTCCGTTCGCAACGGGCCCAAGCCGATGCCCGCCAAGCTCAACATCGATAAGGCGAGGCCCAACGACCGGTACGAGCGGACATCGTCCCCACAGGAGCAGCGCCGGCCACAGAGGGCCGCCTCGTCCGCCTCGGTCACGCCGTCGCGAGGCTACTCGCAGCGTGGCGACCCTCGGAGGAGACCGTCATCGCGAGAGGAAGAGGAGGGCTACCTGGACGACGTCTACGATACCTACGGCGCCGGAGGAGGTGGCGGCGGCGGCGGCGGCGGCGGCGTCCGCAGCAGTCGGTCGCAAAGACGGCCTCCGCCCCAGCAGCAGCGGTACATTGAAGAGGAGGAGGAGGGCAGCGATTTCGACGATGGGTCCTTTGACGAGGGAGACTTTGAGATGGTCTCTAACCGCAGGCCCGGCACCAACTCGGTTTCTGGCTCACAAAGGGGCCAGTCTCGCAGGCCCGACATCCGAAACATCAAGGTCAAGGTGCACTACACGGCCACGGACGACACGAGGATGATCTTGATCGGAGCTGCTTGCGAGTATGCCGGCTTCGTCGACCAAGTCCGCAACAAGTTCAAGATCCCCTCTCGCCGGGGTATCAAGATCAAGGTCCGCGACGACGATGGAAGCGGCGGTCAACCTGACATGATCACCATGGGTGATCAGGACGACCTGGATATGGCCATTATGAACGCCAAGTCCGCCGCCCGGAGAGAGAGGCAAGACAACGGAAAGATGGAGGTAAGAGTCAAACTGGGCCGTAACGGCTGTTGCTTCGTACCATGGTTATGGTAATTCCTGTCGCCTGTACACGCGCTGACCTTTTGTTTTTTCCCCCACAGGTTTGGATTCAGGATGCATGATAGAGTGGAGCGATGATTTTTCTTCTAGCCACAACGCGTCTCATATACCCCAGCATCCGAGTGCGTTTCTGAGCCACACGAAAGTTATGATGGGTTTCCCCACGTTTTTGTTTTTTCCTATGATAAAAGATTACACCAACCTGTACCGCTGAGCTGTCATCATTTCCATCTCACATACTCCTCTGGCACTCCGGACCGGGACATGGCTGAGAGCCTTGCCCTGGGTTAACTGCCTTCCCGAGCTGGTTGACTGCATTGCACCCTTCCACTTGTTCTCTCTATCGAGTCGGACCGACCGCGTTGTTCCTCGTTCCTTTTCGTCTTCGGGGTTTCTGATCTCCTGTCTTGAGTGTTTTTTCTCATCCTACACATCACTTTACCCCACGGCCATCTTCTCTACTTGACCAGCATATATCCCTTGGATAGGGCGGAGAATAGGCGAACTGCGCGAGCACTCAACCGACTTGTTTCTCTTTTTGTATTCGAGTCACATACCATCTCCTCGCATCTAATCTTTTTTTTCCTTTTTTTCTTTTTTTTCGGTTGTCTTGGCTGGCTCTAAAGATTTCTGTTACCGTATTTTGTGTTTTCATTTCTCTCTTTTTCCACATTTTCTCTTCCCTCTCCTTCACTCGAAGGGCTGCTTTTGGGGGCCTGGTTGCCGACAGGAAGCTCCTGGGCCAACAGCAGTCGCTCATCGATCGCTTTAGTCAATAACTTTTTAGTCCCGAGGTCGACGTGTACCCGTGCGAGCTTAGCAGCACGGCAGGGAGTTCTCGTTAGGATGATGGAGATGTCTATGTTTGGGTCGAGCAGCATTTAGCCACTTTGTTGTCATCTCAAGTCACAGCGTACATGCGTTGCTTGTAGGAGAGACAAGAAAAATTTGGAGTGTTTCAGTACAGATGATCTTGTGACGCATGATGCTTTCGCCGGCTTTCCGCATTAGGGCACCTTGCTGGCAGCTCCGAGTGAAGAAGTGTCTATGATCCCGTGCTTGGGATGCCTTGTATCACCATAGGGGTGGTCTTGACTGGTACCTGCTCCCGTCAGGGGATCATCAAGTTTGTCTGAACTCGAATAGGCCGTCAACCCCTCCTATATCAGGGGAAGACCTAATGTAGTGCCGTGGGGATTTGATCCACGAGACCGTTTTGATGATGCGCTCATCTTGTTGTCGTTTTTGTGGGCTTGAAAGGCGGGCATGAGCCCCGGGGCAGCAGAGGCGGAAGGGGAGGAAGGGGGCCAAGAAACGGGTTCAAGTGAAAAGGAGAGCATAAAGAAACCGGCAACAAGCAGCTTACTGCTGCCAGATGCCGATGTCAGATTTCGGACTATCAGATCATGCCGAGATCGGCTAGCTTTCAGACAACAACGACAAACTTTCTTGTTGTAGACCGCCTGATCACGCCCACTCTCGTGGCTGGTATCTATCTATATTGGGACGTAAACAAAAAAAAAAGGCAATACGCCTAACGACTACATTCGGATCCGCCTCATTTCGCCAAGCGTGTAATACTTTCTCATGTTTGCCGCCCCGAGTGTCTCGACCTCCTGGTCCATGTGCTTCCACAGGACGGTGCCCCACGAATCCAGTTTCTGCAGGAGCACGCTCATCTCCAGGTCCGCCTCGCGCGAGCGACACTTGTTGATGTACTCCTCTAGCTGATCCATACCTGGGGTTGGACGGTAGACGTGTCAGCGGTTTGGTGCGAATCTCTTGGTCACAGGTTAGTGGCAACTCCGTACCCTCGTGGATGTCGCGGTGCTGCTGGATCAGCTCGGACTGCTTCTGTGACAGCTTCTTGCCGCCGCCGCCGCCCTGGGCGTGGCGGAACTCGGCCATTTTCGGCGCGAGAATGGGATACAGATAGATCTCCTCGATGTTGTGGTGCATCGTTAGGCTACGGACAAAGCCCATGCCGGTGTCGAGGAACTGCTTCAGAGTCAGGTTCTTGGGCCGCCGGCCGGAGCTGGCGGCGTCGTACAGGACATTCCAGCTTTGTTTGAAGTGGTCGTGCTTGATGGGGAGTGTGTGTGGGTGTGGATGAAGTCGACGACGTGTCAGCCCTCGTCGTTCTACTATAGGTAGGTAGGTTCCAGGTGCGCCCGGCCGCGGGCTGGGCGGCGACGGCGACTCACGTAATATGTCATCTCGTCGGCGAGCCGATTGAACTCTCTGAACTCGGCAGGGGTCAGCGGGGGAAGCGCCGGCTCGGCCACCGCGCCGGCGTCGTCGGCGCCGTTGTCCGCAGCCGGCTTGGCTTCTGCCTCTTCGGCGGTGCTGGCTCCCGCGGCCGGCATGTCGACCGAGCTTTCCTGTTTCGGGGCTGAGGCTGAAACCTCGGGCATCTCGGACTGTGCGGCCATACTGGATGTGATGGTGCGCGCAACCGTGGGAATGGACTGAGCGGCCAGCGGCTTTGGCACAGGGTGCAGGATGCGCGATGCCAACAGCGACGACCGTCTGGATAGGTGGGGTTGGATGATACAGGGAGATATTGCCCGTCGCCTGAAAACACTCCTCATCGGTGTCTCCTTTGCAAGTCGGGCGCCCCGAGCTGTGTTTTATCACGAGCAAAGTCCTGAAAAGAGCCCGGGCTGTCCCGCCGTATTTATTCCTTCTTTGGCGGTTGGCCCCCCTTCCCAGGGATCACTCTTTGGCAACCTCTGCTCTTTGCCTGCCCTGTCCCACACTCGGGCTTTCGCAAACCACATACCGAAAACAAGCGGAGCTGCAGCGCCCAGACCGGCTGGTGTGGGTGTTAGTAGCCGCTGGATTGACTCGATGCCGCTGGCGCTGGACAAAAGGGGCGGCCGCGCGCTGAGAGAATTGGGTCAGGCTGACACAGTGCGTGCATTTTACGGGCTGGGCTGGACGTTTCGCCGCCTCACAGTACCACATGGCGGCAAATGCTGTAAAAACGGGGTTGCGCACTGTGTATAGGAATCAATTGACCTCTCCGTTCCCGCGCGCCAACAAAGGTCGCGACTTCCTAAATGGGCCAACAAAAATATTCCATCAACGTTCATCGAGGTGCAGTGTTCTGTCCTATCCGGGCTCTCATCCGCCTTCTCTGTGGGCTGACATGCCCCGGAGTGAAACTTGGTGCGCCGAATCGAGTCGCCTCACATAACCCGGGAGCGACGAGAGGCGATTGAGCTCGGTTTGGACACACTCAAACGCGCGCACCTCGGCCGTCTTCGTCTACCATGATTTCCTGGAGTATTGCCTCGTGTACATGACCAAAACAATTACCGGGACAGGACACCGAACAGCACGACATGGCCATCGTCACCTTCACCCTGAGTGAGGACGGCGTGATCGCGCTGCAGAATGCCTTGGCCTGCATACTGAAGTTTTGCGATGACGTCTGTCTCGACGCCAGCAAGGACAAGGTCTGCAACATCTGATGAACTCCATTGGCCCCCGCCAAGTCGCCTGCTTGCTGACGTGCGAGATCTCTGCGCATTTCCGCCCCGTATCAGTTTGTCCTGACGGGCCTGAACTTGACCAAATCGGCCCATATATCTTTCTCCTTTGCGCTAGCCCGATTCTTCTCCCGTTACTCGTTCCAAGGGAGCGAACAATACAGAGAGCGCTTCCACTGCAGTATCTACATCAAGGTGCGCCGTTAAAATCTGGTCCAATGCCCTGGGCCCGCTCTACTTCGGAATCTAATCTTGCTAGCAGGCTCTGCTGGCTGTCTTTCGGGCCCGAGTAGGCGGGGAGCCCGGCCGTGACAGAGAGAGGGAGGCGGCCATCGAGCGGTGCGATGTCGCCATTGACGACGGGCCGGGGAAGAAGAGCCGGTTCATCGCCCAGATAGTGTGCAGAAATGGCATCACGGCCACGCACAGCCTCCCGTTTGAGGTCAAAGCCCCGACCCGGGTCAGGTTCGACCCCGATGAGGTTGTGAACCACTGGACTATCGAGTCCCGCACCCTGCGCCAGCTCATGGAGCATTTTGGTCCAGGCATTGATCTGCTCGACATTAACACCGAGGGCGAGAATGTCGTGAACTTTGCGTGCTACACCGAGAAGGACTTTAAGCTGTCTAGCGATGCTAGTATGTTGGGAACCCTGCCATAGGCCTCCCCTGGCGTTATGTCGATCCATGTCTCGTCCGGTGCTGACACGCAAGGCTCAAGCAATCCTCAAAAAGCCGCTGCACACATCCATAGCTGTTGAGATGGACGAGTTTGATGATATAGCCATCGAGGCGAAGCTTCACACCATCATTCCGGTCAAGGACTTCAGGGCCATTCTCCAACACGCCACCATCACTAGCGCCACCCTCTCTGCCCGGTACTCTAACCCGGCGCGCCCGATGAAGCTACACTACAGCGCCGACGGCATCCTATGCGAGTTCATCCTCATGACGGTCGGCGAGAGGGGACAGGGTGTACAAAAGTCGCGGAGAGGGCAAAGCGCAGCGAAGGCGGCAAAGCCCGCCCTCGATGCTGGCTCAAGCCGCGCCGGTTCAGTTGCCCGGGCGCGGTCACAGCGGACGCAAGAGTCGGCCGCTCCGGCGGCTGTGCCTCTGGTGGCGAAGGCCTCGCAGCCCCCTCGGCCCTCGGCCTTCGACATGCGGCCGCCTCCGCTCCCGCCGCCGTCAACGATGCGGTCCGAGGCCATGTTTGTTGCCCAGGATGACGACCAGCAATGGGAGCCCGTGAACGAGGACGCAGGCGAAGACGACGACGACAACGGTCCCCTTGGCTGGGACGCTACTAACGATCCCGTGAGTCTCGTCTCCCCTACAAGTTTGAGTCTGGCTCTGAGCTGACATGACCTCGATATAGGGCCCGCCGACCATGCGGATTAGCGAGCATCTCGGCCGTACTGCCTCTTTCGAGGCGCGGAGCGAAGCACCGCAGAACGATGGGCTTCCCTCGGAAGTTGAGCCTACGCAGCGACTTTCGGATGTAAGTCACTTGGCCCCAGGCCGCCAGATTGGCCAGTGTCAATACTAACAGTCGATGCAGGTCCGTCGGTTCGGGCTCTTTTCCTGAAGCCGGTGTCAATACGTGCGGAAACTGTGTACACATCTCCCATGGTGAAAAATAACCTGTCTCCTCGCTTTTGGTGCTTGATCTACCTTGTATCTGGCCATATTTCCGAGGAACTGCCGCGCCTGCCACTGTACACTCCTCTATGACGGAGATGGAATCATAATCGCGATAGGTAGTTTCTTCAGCTTGATGTCATCTCGCTCTGAGAAGCTTGCTATCTATGGAATAGACTGTCCTATCATTACCCAGCTTGTGGCACAGCCTGCGGCGATTGCTGTGATGCAGGATCCCGGGGGAATGTATTTGGAAGATGCGATGACGCTCCACTGTTCAGTCTGTGACGCAGGCTTCTGCATCTGGGGGCCGCAGTTGCCATGTTCACCCCAACCCCATGCGACGACAGCGTCATTGTCCTCGGTCACGGCGACAACGTGCTCGCTGCCCACGGCCATTCGTGAAATTGGGGGAAGGCTGGGCGGTGGAAGCTGGCCGTGGTCATTCTTTCCCCAAGCGAGGATGCTCCCATTCGCTTGCAGGACATAGACACCACCCCAGCTGGCCTGGACGTCCCTCCAATCCTTCACCGACGACGGAGCCGACGCCTTCAGGCCCCACTTGTCCGAGCCCAGCACGAGAATCTCACCCGTTGATCGTTCGCCGACGAGGACCGTGAAGTCCTTGCCGCACGCGGCCTTGGCCACTACGAAGCCCACCCCTTCTATCCTGCGGGGCTCCGTGACGGCGGCGCCCTCGGGCGCCCCCAGCTGGCCCTTCCTGCCCTGCCCCCAGCCCCACGCCTCGCCGTTGTCGAGCACCGCGACGGCGTGGCCCATGCAGGCGGCCAGGTCCACCACCTCGGTGCCGGCCGGCGGGAATCCCGGGATCAGGTCCGGGGCGGGCGCCCGCACGATCAGGGGCCCCTGGCCGAGCTCGCCCTTGCCACCGCACCCGAAGCTGTAAACGCGGTTCCGCCGGCCCTGCTCGTCGGCGCCGACGACCACGGACGCCTCCCACAGCGCCGCGACCAGGCGCCCCGGGGCCGTCGTCGCCTGTCCCTGCTGCTGCTCGCTACCTGCGCATCCCCGCGCGGTTCCGGGCAGATGGACCCTGTGGAGGACCGGGGGTCGGGCACGGGCGGCGGGCAGGTCGGGTGACGCGAGCCCGCACGCACCCGTGTTCAGGTCCCCGGCGGCGTACAGGTCTCCGGACCGCGTGAGCAGCAGCGAGTGGTTCCCGCCTGCGGCGAAGGCGGCGACTGGCGGCAGCTGGGCCGGCTCCACCGCCACCACCCCGTCGCCGCCGCCGCCGAGGAGCGCCGGCTTGGGCACCGACACATCCTCCCGGTGGCCGATCCCCAGCTGGCCGGAGCCGTTGGAGCCGATTGCGAAGATGGTCTCCATGGCTGAGGTTTAGGAAGACTACACCTTGGTCAGAGAAGAGTGAGGCGAGGGGGACTTTTGCCTGAGCGAAAGGGTGGTCCTCACGTCCTCTGGCAGATGTAGGTGGAGTTTGGCAGGGAAAGTGGGTTAAGAACGCGCGCTTACATAACACGTAGGGCCCGCTTGGAGCTTCTTTCCCAGCCGACGCGGATACAAAAAGTCCCACTTCCTGACGACCATAAAAATTTGCTTCTCCCGACAGCCTTTCCAACCTTCCTCTTCCCTTCCCTCAGCAATCCCATTCTTTTTCACCTGCCCACACCTCCAATCAACCCGAGCGGTACTCTCTGCAACGTCTGCGGGCTCGATTGAGAAGTCTGGTCGGCGCCTCGAAGATGTGCTGAGGGCCTTCTTGGCCAGTTGGTTGTGACTTGTTTGGCCCTTCCGCTCCCAGCGATTCGCGACGGCGATTCCCCGACCAGCATGGCTTCCTCCAACCAAGGTTCGCACCCTGTGCCTGGCATGGAGGACTTTGTTGTCGGCATCATCGGCCTTGGTGATATGGGCAAGATGTACGCCAAGAGGCTCAGCGCCGCTGGCTGGAGGTAGGGTCTTGGCTCGTTCTCAATGCTTCGTTTACTGCCGAGTCAGCTTTATCGCGGCCGCGGGCGAGAGTCGCGCTGTATCGCTGCTCCTGGTAAGTTCTTTGGAGCCTTTTCTTTTTTGTCTTGCACTCACCCCATCTCCCTTCCGCTATGATGACTTGAGTGCATTTGGCTAGAGCATCGTCCGAGACTTGCCGGATCAGCCTTTCTGGCCCCGGCGTGGTCGACGACTTTCCATGATGAATATTCTCAGCTACCTTACTTTACCTTGTCTGAGCAAACACCTACTGTTACCTTTCTTGTTGAGATACCCTGACTTTCTGGGCTTTGGACTAACCCAGCTTGCCCAGATCTACAGATTGCACTTCAAGCATAGCCGGCAGCGCCTAAGAGCTTGCTCGGCGTTTGTCCACTGCTTTTGTCAGTACTAACTAGTGATAATGAATAATAGAGTCCTAGCCTGTGATAGGGAAGACAAATTTGACAGCCTGCGGGAAGAATTCTCGGGACAAGTATGCTGCTTTCCATATTTTGTGCGCGTTCCGCCCGTGTTTTGGTCCTCGATGGTCTTGTGTCGTTTGAAGTGAGATGAGCCTGTGCTGAGACTGTGCCTGCGTTACGTCGAACGTTGCCGCCCACGAAGAATGTTGAAGTCCTACGCAATGGGCATCTGGTCTCACGAGCGAGCGACTACATTGTCTACAGCGTGGAGGCGGCATCCATTGGCCGCGTTGTAGCCGAGTACGGCCCCTGTACGAACCTGCCCCGCCTGTTTCTGCTTTTTGCCTCCCCGTCTCGAGGTCCCAAGATTCGACTTCTCACAAAGCAATGCTACAGCCACCAAGCAGAAAGCCATAGTTGGGGGACAGACGTCGTGCAAGGACCCAGAAGTCCGGGCTTTCGAGGAGCACCTTCCTAGCGACGTTGAAATCGTCTTGTGCCACTCCCTTCACGGTCCGAGCGTAGACCCCAAGGGCCAGCCTCTGGTAAGTCCACACAAGATGGCCATGATGGGAACATGTGCGAGAGAGGGAGCGTTGTGGGATGTCTATTCACGTCACTCGGGTAGCTGGAGATGCCTGCCCGCACCCGTTGCTGATGGTACACGCGGACTAGGTCTTGATCCCCCACCGGGCAAGCGATGCCTCCTTCGCAAAGGTGGAGGCGTTGCTCCGATGCCTGGGCTCCAAGCACGTGGTGCTCTCGGCGCGGGAGCACGACCGCATCACGGCCGACACGCAGGCCGTGACGCACGCGGCCTTCCTGTCCATGGGCAAGGCCTGGCACGCGACGGCGCAGTTCCCGTGGGAGGGCGGCCGGTACGTGGGCGGGATCGAGAACGCAAAGATCAACCTGATGCTGCGCATCTACGCGCAAAAGTGGCACGTCTACGCCGGGCTCGCCATCCTCAACCCCGAGGCGCGCGCGCAGATCGACCAGTACGCCCGCTCGGCCACGGAGCTGTACAAGCTCATGCTCGCGGGCCGCGCCGCCGAGCTGCGCGCCCGCGTCCTCGCCGCCCGCGACCGCGTCTTTGGCCGCGACGACAGCCCCAAGTGGGGCGCCCGGCCGCTGCTCCGGGACGGCCTGCTGGACCGCTTCAGCCTCGGGGCCGCCACCGGCGCCAGCGAGTCGCAGCAGCAACAGCAGCAGCTGCCCAACAACCACCTCAGCCTGCTGGCCATGGTCGACTGCTGGAGCGCGCTGGGCATCGTGCCGTACGACCACATGATCTGCTCGACGCCGCTGTTCCGGCTGTGGCTGGGCGTGGCGGAGCACCTCTTCCGCAGCCCGGCCCGGCTGGACGAGGCCCTGCGCATCGCCGTCGAGGACAGCACCTTCCGCGCCGACGACCTCGAGTTCACCTTTGCCGCCAGGGGTTGGGCCGAGTGCGTCAGCCTCGGCCACTTCGACACGTGGCGCGAGCGCTTCGTCGTCACCCAGCGCTTCTTTGAGCCCCGCTTCGCCGACGCCACCAAGCTCGGCAACGAGATGATCAAGGCCGTTCTCGAGACGAGCGAGTGATGCGGGAGAAGGACCTGGACTTGGGCAGAGGGACAGGGGAGGTACCGGTAGTATTGTGACATTGGTGTTTGTTCGAATATCCATCCCACTGGTCCCATTGCAGTTGGTCTTATTTCAGACCACCTGGGCGCTATTCGTTGGCAACAGTTGCGAAGAAATGGGGTTCGTAGACGGTAGTAAAGCCACGGTAGTGCAGAAACCGGTCAGCTTGTTGGTAGGAAAACGATAGTTAACCAAGAGGGATCAAAAAGAAAATCCACCCCCGTGCAGTGTTCTCACCCCAATGCCTTTCTCTCCACCCCTGCAATAGAGTAGAGCCTGAGCGAATGGCAGACGATGTCTGCTTGTTGGCAAGCGCAGGACGGCCATTTATAGGAGCGGGCCGACCATTGTCAACAGGGAGGGGAAGGGAGGTCCTTGCCAATACCCTTGGCCCTGTCGTATTTCTCGCCATCTCTCGGATGCTAGTGCTCCCTCTTTCCCGGACCGCTATGTGGCTGCATAAGCTCCTGCAGCTTTTGGCCTTCGGGAGACTTTATCTTGATCACGTACCCGCTTCCCTCCGGTCTCGATGAAGGAAGAGTCAGGTGACACGTAACTGGCGATGTCGTGCGCATGTTGGCGCATGTAGGCGAGGCAGCTCCGCCGCCTCGTCACTGGTCCCCTTTTCGATCAAGGAGGCGAAGACGCGAGCCTCTTCAGAACCCTCGTGAAGTTTGAGCCCGACGCAGGCCAACGCGCTCCTCTGTGGCTACATGGTGGATGGCGTAGAATGGGTACCCCGGGGCAGGAGTGGTTGGGTATTTAGCGCTGGGATGGAGTTGCTGGTGGAAAGCGCTGAGCACTTCGGTCGACGTTGCCTCTTTGGTCTCTTGCGTCGAGAGCTTCATGCGGAAGAGCGGGCAGGAGAGTAGGATTTATTGTGATTATCAGCTCGCGGGGGCCAGAACGCAGGGGAAGAGCGGAGCTGGTGTTGATTTGATAACAAGGAGAATGGCGAAGCTCGTCAGTTATAAATAAACCACAAAACCGACGACTGAGATGACTCCCTTGGTCATACGCGAGGGACCAGCCAGCAAATGAAGCATAACAAGGAGCTAGGCAAGCACTCGATTTTGGCAACGAGGGATTGGGGTGTGGGCCAGGGTTGAACTTCTGACTGTTATGTATCCAATACCCAACCACGTTACCTACCAGCGGCACTTACGTGTTTGCAAGAGGGTGGCCTCTAGCCTAGTTCATCGCAACATAAGATTCTTCATCCCCCTCTTCGAACTTCTGTTCCTCGCCGAGCGTGTCCGGGTCCATGTCCAAGTCGTTTCTGGCCATCTCGGCGTCTACGGCCACGAGTTCCATCTCTTCATCTTCGTCGCCATCACTATCCCCTGCTCCCCCGGTAAGGAAGGCGACTCTGTCGGAAAATACGCCCCCCTCGGCGTCGCCATCCCCTTTCGGTCGGATAACGTGCAGACGGTACGCAAAGACGATCCCGGGTGCCGTCTGATACGACCGGTTGCTCGCGTCCTCTCTGGCCCCGGACAGCTCCCCTCTCAGCCCTAGCGGAGCCCTACCTGCCGGCACCGAGCTGGACCCGGCCGCCGACCCTGACGCCTTGAAGTGTTTTTCGTCTGTGACGGTGAACGAGTCCACCGCCACGCGGAGCCCGGTGATGACGTACACCCATCGCTTCCCGAACCGCCCGCTGTCCATGTGCCGTTTGACCTCGTCCAGGCGTGTGATGGCGCGCAGCGTCTCGGGCGCGAAGACGCCGTCGAGAGTGCGTACTTCGTGGTCGACAGCGCTGAAGCTTTTGTTTCGCGACCACGACATGTCTGTTTTGCCGCTGCCCGAGGCCAGCTCGAGGAATTTGGCCAGCAGCTCGAAGCCGAAGGATCGCTTCTTATCGGCGGAAAAGACGCGGCCCCTTTCGACGAGCGACTTGGCCTCTGGGATGGCAATGGTTGGGTGCTCCGATTGGGGCCCGAGGGAGGCGAGCGTTTCGGTCGGCCGTCTGGGATCGGGAATCAGCCGTCCAAGGGCGATGGCGCCGTCGGGAAGGAAGGTGAAATCGGGGGGCAGGAACTGTCAGACATGAGGTTAGCCGGTGCGAAGTTCTGTCCATCGGCCCCTTGAGCCCTCCCTGAGCCATGAGATACTTGATGGCAGAGCTGGCGATCGAGCCTTGCCGCGCTTGCGACGATAGATGGCCGCAGCGCTGTGCTCTGGTTTAAGGGGATAAATCGAGAGTTGAGAGCCACACCCAGGTCTTGCTCGACATCTCGCCGTTGCTTGCGGTATATGTATCTAGTCGCTGGCGGTATTCTCCCCGCAGAAGACCACGACAGTCAAGTCTGATGTCCCGCCTTGAGGTCCCAGCCCACGGACTGATGCGAGTGTGCCACCAACTGCAGGTTCGGCCACACCACCCAATCACAACCAGGCACATCAGGCATCCATGGGCCAGCGGCTGATTTGCCAAGAGGTAACCAAGTAGCCACGTTCGCTGTGCCGCCAGTACATCCTTCAGGCTTGCCCTCGCGGACGACCGTGGTCGCGGACCGAGACTCTTGGACCTTAATGTGGGCTATATAACATGGCTGATAAATACCAAGAGATTTCGATTTATATGCACAAAGCTGGTATAAAGCCATTTACTGTTTGCTAAAACGCCCTCCGCGAGAAGGGCCGTTTCGTGAAGTATCCTGCAGCAAGGAGTTCACCGAGGTGCTAGCTGGTGAGGTGACTCCTGATGTCCGTTTTCTTCGCCTGCACCAGCGGCCGTCTGGGAAACAACCGTTCCACCTCCGACTGCGTGGTGACGAACACACAATACCTCACCGAATCGTCGGACTCATTCTTCCAGAAAACTGGCAGCTTCACGGCACGGAGTCATGGATAGGCTCTCGGCTCGGGCGCTAGCCGGTAGAGAAGCGCCCCCATCCCTTTGGTAGTCCAGAGCCGTTCCAACACCTGGCTGCACGGCAGCTTCACCAGTGAGGGGAGCACCATGGCGTATGCGAGCATCACTGCGCTAACGCCCGCCATGGCCGCCGTGGCGATAGACGAGCCCGCCTTGCAGATTCCCGGGTAGGGGCTATCGAACTCGGCGAGGAGGGAATCGGGTGGGTCGCCGTACGTGCCCAAAACCCAGGTGTCCCGCGAGGGAGTTACTGCATTGGACAAAAGGGGTGCTCCATGCTTGTCGGTTGCGTAAACGGCAACGACCGAGCCATGGCAGGCCGAGAAGCTTTCGTCATCTGTATCCGAATTTCCGGCGCTGGCGAGAAAAATGATGTTCTCTTTGCGCTCTTTCTCGATAGTCTCGATAGCCTCGCCGATCCCGCCCTCGTCTTTGCGGGATATGCCGAACGAAGTCAATATAATGTCGGCTTTACAGGCTTGACCTGCCCAGTGGATAGCCTGTGCCTCCGCTTCCATCAGTGATTTGGACAGGTACACAGCCCTCTAGATGATGCACAATCTGGACAGTGGTTTACCGTTGGGTAACGCGACCAACGTAATCAAACAGTTAACACGAAACAGAGGGGCTGTTTCACTCACCTTTCGAATGTTTTCTTGGCTGGCCCTAAGATCTTTGCTGTTTCTGGCGACCCGCGCAACAAAAATCTCCGCGCCGGGTGCGCACTCCATGACGATCCTCGCCATCAAGGTACCGTGGCCGAAAGTGTCCGTTATGGTCGACGCTCCGGGGTCAACGTAGTCTACATGGCCTTTGACAGCATTCATACGGCTTGGTTTCTCGTCGAATATGGGTAGATCCATGTTCAGTCCCGTGTCCAGGATCGCAACTCGAACGGGGGTCGTGACGCGTTGTGCTCTTCGCTTCCGCTCCACAGATACGCCGATCTTCTTGATGTCCTCGAGCCACATTTTAGGCATGATCGCGCCGTGGAAATGATGTTCTTCATCCGGTTGCTGTGCGGGGTCGGTCAACCCTGATTGAGGCTCAGGGCGTTTCTTCTTGACGTAAGTGATAAGCCCAGGCTGTGCCTTGAAGCCCTGCCTCGCCAGCCACACGAGCGGCCGGACGACGTGTCGGTAGAAGATTCTTCTCCTCTCAACTACCCCCCTCTTCCGTTCTTCAGCATTCATTGGCTCAGGGGGGTTCACTACACCGAGCTGCCTAGTCTTTGGCTTCATTGAGGCCTTGGTGAAGTTTTTGCCGTCGAGGCAGAACCTCACAGCCTGATCAAAGAACCCCTTGTTCAGGAAGCCGTCCCAGCTTGACCTCTCCAGATCTTTCAATGCGAGGGTAGCGATCTTGTGGTTGAGGTTAAGCTGTGCGACGAGCTCCCGCTTGTTGCCTGTCTTGAACTTCTCCCCGAGGCCGATTTCCAGAAGAGGAGCTTATCGACGGGCTGCAGAGCCTGGCGAATGAAATCATTGGCGAAGGCAGTAAGGCAAACAGGGGTGACGCAGAGGATAAGGAACACATGACAAAAGGTTATGAAAGTGAGACAAAGAAACGAGAAAGTCAACCGACTACCACCGACCCCCTTATATACCTAATGTCCAGCTGGCCAGATCCTCGTCAGTATACGGTCAGTCGGATCTCACATACCCGTACCGACCACATAGCTGCCCGCAGTTTCTTCGACAGATCCTGGCATTCGCAACCCATGAACATCGACCCGAGCGACAGGAATACCTACATCTTGGGGGGAATGGGAGGTCAGGATGTCGTCATGGACTATCCGCGCATGGGAAGGTACGGGCGATGGGCGGCAACTATACTCGGCAGCTTCCCTGACATCCGAATCCGCATAACCGCCCGTGCCAGAGGTGGTGCTCCAAGCAAAACGATCGATATAAGCCTTGGTGATGTTGTGGCTGGTTATACCGGCGGCAAAAGCGCCGTATTCCAGTACGACCTTGAAAAGGCGATTCAGCACCAGAAGTTCAATCTCGCAGGGCTTCTAACTCAGCCACCACTAACTATCCGGAAGGCAGTGGAAGTTCTTGAATTTCCCCATCAGCTTAAAGACCATCCGTTCGAAGCCCAGATGGCCACAATATTCGCAGGAAATTTACAAGCCCAGGATGTGTGGTCTCGTCCCTCTCCTACGAGCGACAGGCTGTACAGGTTTGATTTTGTGCATCCCGGTCCTAAGAAACTTTGCGAACACTGTTGCGGTGATGATCTGGAGAGACTAGTTGCCCGAGTTAAAAGAGGTAAATATAAATACCAAACGTATTTCCTCCTATACCCCTACCTCCCCTGCCTACCTCCTCTCCTTATCTCCTTTTTCTCTTTTTTCCTGACCTTGTTGTTTTTATGTTCCCATAATCCTTTCTCGAGTCTAACAACATCGTTATCCAAGATGCGAACAGCGACGTAGAGGAAAATGGCGCGGCGGATGCGGAGGACAATACCGTCATACACCACGGACGGACCGCCAGCGCCAATACAGCGATGAGAGATGCCCGCCAACGAGACAAGCTGGCGGCGGAGAACGATATCCATTGTGCTGAGACGGATACGGCCGGTTTGATGAACGACTTCCTTGTCTGGTTATCAAGGGGATCTGCGGCTATTCGGACTGGCACAAGGACCGGAAATGGCAAGCTTTTGCAGCAATGATGGCGGCGGCTTATGTGAAAGCTCTTCTTTGCGAGATTGAGCCTGACGACCTGGCAATGGAAAAAAGAGCAGAGGAGGTTCTGGCTGCAAATGTGTCACTGGCATGATTCCCCACGTTCATTTCTTATATATTCTTTTCCTTTTTTTGATACAATAATATTTCCTTTGAAGTATTCTCCTTGTTTGTTGGGTCTGGCCAACTGGCAAGTCCATGGTGCTGTTGCTACGTTGCCCAACACCGACCGGGGTTCTGTCGCATCAGCCGGCGTACGCATCTATCGCGCTCCCACACCCTCCACGGTGAGCTGGCTCTGGCGACAAAGCAGCCAGGCCATTTGTATGGGAAGGCCTTTCCCGCAAGCGTCGGAACCGTCTTTGTTGACGCCCGATTCACCCTGCGAAGTACGGACCCGGGCCGTGATCTGACGAGCTCGGCAACTGTCTTTGGGTCTTCAAAGCCTGCATATCCTGGAGTAAAAACTTTTGCTCGGCCCTTTCCTGGCCATGGGCAGGATACGGTAGCCGAGCGGCGGTGGTTTCGGAAACTGGCATCTCCTGCTCCCCTCCCCAGCCCCGATATGTGTAAATGGATGGCAGCTCAGCCGCCTGACCACTGGAAGTAGATGGGGTTGGGGCTACAGGAGCGGCAAGGGCGGCCACTGTGGTTGCGCGACTGGAAGGAGAGGTGTCGACCTCGGAATAGGTATTATGTATCATGGAAACGCTATAAGCGTCTTCTAGTGGGCCTGATGACAGCGCTACGCTGGTGTGGGCGCTCGGGGCACCGTAATAGCCATCGCTGATCATAGAGGGCGGGTCGCTAGGATAGGAGACCCGGGGATGGCTAGAGACATGACTGTAGGCGTTGGTGAGGCTGTTGTTGGAAGTTTGCCAGAGTCCTGGGCCGGAACCAGGGGTTGCCAGCGGTTCCTCCTCGCCGCCAGCGCCATCCGGCTTCCGGCCAGAGCCGCCCAAGGGAGTCCAGCGAGACCCGGAGGAGCCGGCGTGTTTGGCGTGTTTCCGGTTCGCCCACCAAAAGGCCAGCGCGGCAGCACATAAGATGGCCACCACGAGGGTGGCACCGACCGAGATGCCTGCAACTGCGCCAGAGCTTAGGCCATGTGAGCCTAACTGGTCAGTGGTAGGCGGAAGCGTGGGAGCGACGGTCGGGGTACTAGAGGTGACTGGTGGCGGAGTAGACGTCGGACGGGCGGCGGTGGCGAGGCCGACGGTGGTGGACTTGGCCGACCCATCAGCGACGATGGAAAATTCACCCGAGTTGTCGCCATACCCTTTCGTCTCGTTTGGCCTCAGGTTGAACCAGCACGTGTCCGAATTGGTGAAGTTTATTGGGGTTAAGTGGGAGCCGGAAAAGGGCTTGACAAATTCGATGCGGACTAGCAGCTGGTTAGCGCGCTGTGCATGCCTGGGGTTGGTAGCAGATGTAGGTGTAGATGTAGATGTAGATGGTGGGCGCAGCGACACTCACTTTGCCGAATATTGTCACCAAAGCTCCTACACCACGTGAACAGCTGAGGCGCGGGGAAGGGCGTGACGTAGCTGATATTGACGACCGTGTTGGGGTACGTGAACGTCTCTCCGCCGGTTGGGAACAGGAATGTCACGCCATTCAGGCCGTTTGACACGGCTCCGGGAACCAGAAGCCCGCCGGTGAGGGCAACCGGGAGCCCGACGGCCGACCGCATTAGCAGCCAGCAGCCCCTGGGGTTGATGCCCTTTGCTGGTCTGGGCTTCTGGCAGGCTGCGACCCAGCACAGACAGCACTTGAGTGCTAGCCCAGTCAGGGGTCAGGCTGCGGCTAATCTAGTCGAGGTGTCAATGAGCTGCATGGGGCCCCGCGCGGATAATCTCGAGCTGCATCGGGTGTTGACTGGAATGAGCAGGAACAGCCCAAGACGGGTAGAAACAGAGGGGATAAAAAGAAGATGGGGGTTAGTCGACCGAGGGTTTTTGCATCTGATGCTGATGGCACAGCCCGTGATTTGCTATTGATTCCAGCCGCTAAAAATGAACAATGCCCAGAGCCGTCCCGTCTCGAACCGCGCCTTGCCCACCCACAAACCATGCTCCATGGTAGGTGCCAGATAGACATCTACTCCTAGCCCCCAATTCAATGGCACAGCATTGAAATGGAACCACACCACAGGGCTGGGCCATCAGCAACACAACTGGGGACCTGAGATTATTCCATCCGTCTTCCATGCCTGAGGCAGTCAGGGTCTGGTCCCGCATGTGGGGAACGCGTGCGTCTTCTTGGCCACCGTCGACCCACCGAGCCCCAAACTGGGCGGGCAGCAGGCAGGCAAGCAGCAGATCGCAGGAACGCGCTAGCCTTGGAAGCCAGCCACACCAGCACCAGCGACGCCCGTGACCTTCTCCCTCCCTCCCTCTTCCTTGCTCGCCCGCTCATTGTGCGATGCGGCTGCCCACCCACCTGTTGGATATCTGCCTAGCCTGACCAGGCTGTCTGTCGGATTCGGTCTGGCACCACCATCGTCTTTCGCACACTTTCTTCATCTACCTCTCTACCTACCTAGCTACCTATATACTACCAACCTCCAGCCTATCCTTGCTCTCCCCCCTCTCTTCGCTCCGGCGCAACAGCCACCAACATCCGACGAAGACGCACAGGTGCGTGCGCAGCCCCCGGCCGTAGCCAAACCCGGTGCTCCGCCTCCCCGATCGGCCGCCCCTCGACGCCAGCCCGACCCGGCACCCACGTGGACGCTCCCGGTTCCGGGGTTCATGCGCGCATAACCAGGATCCATCGGGTTGGCGCCTACCTCTGCGGCCGTACCCGAGCACGCATTCACTCCTCATCCAGCGTCGCCGGTCGCTCACGGACCGACCGTGCCCCGCGCCTCCTGACCCTGCGCCATGGGGATCCTCACCCAAAAATCAAAGCTAAAGGTCGCGCCGCCCACGATCCGCATCGAGAAGGTCGTCGTCAAGCCGAAGCCGAAGCCCCAGCCGAAGGCCGGGTCGTCGGCAGGACCCCGCGGCACCCTCGGCGCCGCCACTGCCACACACCATCCGCTGCGCAGGAACGCGGCCAGCGCGTCCCCGCTGCCCTCGTCGTCCTCGTACGCCTCGGATCATTCGGCGCAGGGCCAGGCGCGCAAGCGCAAGTCCTCCAGCGTCGGCCCCGGCACCACCCCGCGCCGATCCCCCGCGAGCGACCGCGTCACGTTCGACAATGACTCCGAGTCCGACGACGATGACTGGGAGGAGAGTATCGACGCGCGCAAGCGACAGCGCACTGCCGACAGCGATCGCGTTCCGGACCCGGACCGCATGCTCGTCTCGCCTGGCCTGACAGAAACGCAGGGCGACGGCAAGGAAAGGCCAGAGCCACGCTTCATACACGCTGCCGATCTCGCGTCGCTTGCCCTCAAATGCTCGCCCTCGCTTGGCGCCCCGCCGGCCGAGGTTGCGGTAAAGCTGCAGTACCCAGGTCTGCGACAAAGAGAACGGTAAGTAGGGGCCTACAAATGCCTTGGAACAAACTACTGCTGCCGCGCGTCTTGATGCTGACAGCAACTCCCGCTAGGTATGAGCTTGTTTCTGGGAAGGACATGATAGATGCCGTTCCCGAGATAATACGGGTGATAAAACATGTGGCCGACACCTATCTCAGCGATAGTGAGGCCCTCCTGATAAACGACCCCGCCAACGGCTTGGTGCGGCAACTCGAGCGCGCTTCGAGCCCCTCGGTCCAGGATTACAAGGCGTTTCGCAGGGCCTTGGACAAATACAACAGCCACGTCCTTGCTCTCCGGTCCAGCGGCGCGCTAGCCCGAAATCTCGGCAGTCGACAGGCCCTCCCCAACGACCTCGTCGCTTTCATACTTGAGCAGGTGTACGACCGCACCGTCGCTCCCAAGGTGGAGCTGCTGGCCAAGTACGAGAACGGCACCGACAATGTATACGGCGAGCTCTTGCACCCCTTCATAAACGACATCCTCATCCGGAGGCTGAATATGACTTCGGGCCAAGTTTTCGTCGACCTCGGCTCCGGGGTCGGGAACGTTGTGCTGCAGGCGGCCCTCGATATCGGCTGCGAAAGCTGGGGCTGCGAGATGATGGAAAACGCCTGCAACCTGGCCGAGGCGCAAAAGAGGGAGTTCAGCGCGCGCTGTCGGCTATGGGGAGTGGCGCCTGGCAGGGTGCGGCTGGAAAGAGGAGACTTCCGGACGAACCAGAGGATTCACCAAGCCCTCCAGCGCGCCGATGTTGTTCTTGTCAACAACCAGGCCTTCACGTCGCAGCTCAACGACGACCTTGTCCGCATGTTCCTGGACCTCAAGAGTGGTTGCAAGATAGTGTCGCTCAAGAGCTTCGTCCACGACCACAAGAATGCGCTCAACGATGTTGGTAGCACCATTCTAGACGTCGAGCACCTCACGTACCCCGAGGGCTACGTGAGTTGGACCGCGGCCGGGGGTACCTTTTGCATTTCGACGAGGAAGTGACGATGCCCTCCCTGTTTTGTTTTTCTTTTGTTAGACAAGATACCACCAATCAGCAATGATTTGCATGTACTGAATAGCATGTGTTGAGCACAAGAGAAGCCAAGCCCTGTAGAGGAAAAAAGGTCATGCCTGGAAAGAATAGAGAGAGGAATAGAGGGGCTCTCAAACCGCGGCTGGGGATTGTGAGGTGGCTGATAACGAGCCTGGGGAGAGGAGGGATGCCTACCTATTTGCCGTGCCAACATAGACCAGCGAAATCTCGAGGACCAATAACACCGACATGCGAGGGATTCTTAATATATGCCTTTGAGAGGTGCCTTGAAGCATATGACGGGGCTCGTCATTGTCGCCTGGTAAATAGGGGCTCGTTTGCCAGGTTGAGGGCTTCGGCTTCCTGGCCTTTGCGCTTCATCCACCGTTCTACAAGCTCCTTATTTTCGGCCTCGATCTTTGCCTTTTTCTGTTCCGTGACGTTGAGCTGGAGGGTAAGGGCAAGGAGTTCGTCTTGGACATTCTGTCGGACGTTTGGGTCACGGGTTCAGCATCGTTGCTATTGGGCATGTAGAGCCACCAGAGAGGCGGACATTGAGCCACACGAGGGCAGAGAGCATGACAAGCCTACCTCGACTAGCTTGGACTTGCCTCGGAGCTCCTCGTCGCGGTCCCTGACCTTGGTCGCGAGCACGTTGCGCTCCGACGTCAGCTGGCGGATGGCCCTGGAGTCGTCGGCCGTCTTGGAGCGCAGCCTCTGGAGCTCGCCCTCGGCCGTCTTGACTCGCGACTGTAGCAGCCCCTGGGCCCTCAGGGCCTCGGCGAGATCCAGGCGGAGCCTCGCGACCGAAGGGTCCGAGGCCGCGGCGGGCCCGGCAGCAGCAGCAGCAGCAGCAGCAGCAGCATCCCGCCGGGACGAGGCCGGGACGGGCGGGGCCCCCGCAGCAGCCCCAGCGCCCGTCTCCTGCAGGGCGGCCTTCTCGGCCTCAAGGACGGCTATGCGGTCCTGAAGCTGCGAGCCTATCGGGTGGTGGTTTGTTAGCCGGCAGGACTTGCAGAGGGGAGCGGGTTGAGGGGATCGCTGCTTACAGGCTTGGATAAGCTCGTGATTGACGGGATTGTCCTGCTCTGCCTCCCTCAACGAAGCGAGGTATTCGTCCCGCCAGTCCGGCATTGTTCTGTCCGAGGGCGAACGGGAAGAGCCAGTGGCCGAGGGAGGTTGGGGGTCCCGTTTAGGTCGGGGCGGTGTATATAACACACCAACTCTGTTGTTGACATGGATCAATCAACATCGGGTGTTGGAGACCAGTGGAGGGCGGGATATGGTGAGTGTTGGGCTCCATCAGGCCTCCTCGCCCCTGCTCAGGCGCTAGATAGGGAGAGGCGCCTAGAATTATGACGCATGTGTTGTTCGTTTGCGCCCCCACAGCATAGCGTAGCACCCGCACAGGTGCCTGCCTGGGGTCAATGAGTGCTGTTACGCGCGGCCCGTGCGCCATCAGCGCCAGCGGTGATGGGATCCAATGGAGCACAACCAACCACCGAGGTCGGTAGCCCGACTGACCGACCAAGCTGGCAGCAAGAAAGGCGAGAGGATCGAGAAGAGAAATACGGCAAACAAAAAGAGGAAAGATAAGCTACTGGGAAACAGACGGACAACGGCCCACCCATTGGCTGTAATTCCCGCTCGATCGAGCTCAAGGAACTCGCCTGGCTTGATTCGCAGCGCGTCCAGCTCGACACAAGGCCTAGGAAGATGAGGTGACGCCGTTGGGCTTGACCCGCGCAACGAACCCCAGCACCCACCCGCTGCTGCCGCCGTCATGGAGCTCAACCCGACAGCAAGCTGGGAGCAGGTGGGGGACCGCTACTACCGCAAGGTGCAGCTCTACACGGCCGTCTTCGACCTGGACCTGGACTTGGACAACTACGTCGTGGCCGGCGCCCCCGACGCCGGCGCCGTGGCCCTGTACATGGATGAGAACAAGCTGGTCGAGTACCGGGCCGGCCAGGCCCGCAAGCCCAGCGTCGACGTCTACAGCTGCGCCGGCAAGCTGCTGCGCTCCATCCCCTGGGACAAGGGCTCCGTTATCGGCCTGGGCTGGTCCGAGGACGAGCGCCTGCTCGTCGTCACGCGCGACGGCACCGTGCGCTGCTACTACGGCCTGCAGCATGACTTTACCCAGTTCTCGCTCGGCCACGGCGCCGACGAGTACGGCGTCCAGGCCTGCCTCTTCTACGACACGGGGCTCGTCGCCCTGCTGTCCAACAACACCCTCGTCTCCGTCTCGTCCTACGCCGAGCCGCGCCCGCGCGCCCTGGCCGCCGCCCCCGATGGCCCCGTGCACTCGTGGGCCCTGATCCCGCCGCGCCACACCCTCTCGCGCTCCGTCGAGGTGCTCCTCAGCATCGGCCAGACCGTCTACGTGGCCGACGCGAGCGAGTGCGAGGATCGCTTCCTCGACATCGGGCCCTTCAGCCACGTGGCCGTCTCGCCCAATGGCAAGTTCGCCGCCCTCTACACGCCCGCCGGCCACGTCCACGTCATCACGTGCGACTTCCAGACCCGCCTGAGCGAGCACGACCTCAAGTCGCGCATCCCGCCAAAGTATGTCAGCTGGTGCGGCAACGACGCCGTCGTCGTCGCCTGGGAGGACGAGATCCACCTCGTCGGCCCCGGCGCCGCCGCCGCCACCTTCATGTACGATGGTCGCATCCACGTCATCCAGGACCACGACGGCGTCCGCGTGCTGACCAACGAGTCCTGCGACTTCATCCAAAAGGTGCCCGACGTCACCGAGGAGGTCTTCCGCCTGGGCACCGAGTCGCCCGCCTCCATCCTGCTTGACGCCGTGGGCCAGCTGGAGATGCAGTCGCCCAAGGCCGACGACAACATCCAGCTGATCAGAGGCAACCTGACCGAGGCCGTCGACACGTGCGTCAGCGCCGCCGGCCAGGAGTTCAGCGTGCACTGGCAGAAGCAGCTCCTCAAGGCCGCGTCCTTTGGCAAATCGGTCCTCGACATCTACAACAGCGACGACTTTGTTGACATGTGCGAGACCCTGCGCGTACTCAACGCCGTGCGCTTCTACGAGGTCGGCCTCCCGCTCTCGCTCGAGCAGTACCAGCGCCTCGGCCCCGACCACCTCATCGGCCGCCTCCTCGACAGGCACGAGTACCAGCTGGCCCTGCGCGTCGCCGGGTACCTGCGCCTGCCCACGGACCGCGTCTACGTGCACTGGGCCTGCGCCAAGGTGCGCCTCGGCACCGACGATGACGACACCATCGCGCGCCTGGTGGTGGAGAAGCTGTCGGGCAAGCCGGGCATCTCGTTTGAGGCCATCGCGCGCGCGGCCTACGACGAGGGCCGCGGCCGCCTCGCCACGGAGCTTCTCAACCACGAGCCGCGCGCGGGCCGCCAGGTGCCGCTGCTGCTGTCCATGGAGGAGGGGGAGCTGGCGCTGGACAAGGCGGTCGAAAGCGGCGACACGGACCTGGTACTCGTGGTGCTCCACGCTCTGCGCCGCAAGCTGCCGCTGGCCGCCTTCTTCCGCGTCGTCAACCGGCGGCCCGTGGCGACGGCCCTAGTCGAGGCCGCGGCGGCCCGCGACGGCGACAACTCGCTGCTCAAGGACCTCTACTACCAGGAGGACCGGCGCCTGGACGGCGCCAGCGTCTTTTTGCGCGAGGCCCTGCGCCAGCCCGACGCGCGCACCGCCGGCGACAAGATGGCGCTGGCCGCGCGCCTGCTGAGCGACAACGCCCGCGAGAGCGCCTTTGAGCTGCGCGCGCTCAAGGAGTCGGCCACCCTGCTGCGCATGCAGGAGGCCTTTGACCGCGACCTCACCGACTCCTTCACCGGCCTGAGCGTCAACGAGACCATGTTCAAGCTGATCCGACTGGGCTACCACGGCCGCGCCAAGAAGATACAGAGCGAGTTCAAGGTGCCCGAGAGGGTGGCCTGGTGGATCCGGTTAGTCGACCCCCGTGCTGCCTACCCCTTTGCTCGGATTTCACGGTCTTGATGCGAGCAAGAGGCTGATCTGAAACTAAATCCGACTCTTATTCCTAGACTTCGAGCTCTTGTGGCCAAGAGAGACTGGAACGAGATCGAGGAGATTGCAAAGGCCCGCAAGAGCCCCATAGGCTGGGAGGTGAGTTCGCTGGGCTCCAAAGAAACGCAGCAGATACAGAAAACTGCAACCCGCCAGAGCCAACAACCGATGGGCTTGACTGACACAAACCAAAAAAACAGCCATTCTACAACCTGATTCTGCAAGCGGGCAACCCGCGCCTCGCCTCCACCTTTATTCCCAAGTGCGCTACCATCAAGGAGGGGACGTCCATCACCATGTACGAGAAGTGCGGCATGAACGTGCGGGCCGCCGAGGAGGCCGTCCGCCTAAAGAACAGGGACGAGTGGACCAGGCTGCTCGACGCCGCGGGCCGCAACTCGGCCGACGGACGCGAGATCGAACGGCTGGGCCAGGTGGCGTTCAAGAAGTAGACCAGGTGGCCGGCCGAAACGAGCCGCGCGTTTGCTGGGCCGTGGTGTCTGTCTACATACTACGATAGCCTTTGATACAATAATGTGCCGTGACGAAATAGGTACCTTTTTTTGGTTAAGCCTTTTTTTTTTTTCTCTCTATTTTTCTTGTCCTCCGGCCATGACGCGGATGCGTTGTCCAGGATAAGCTACCAAGACGCGGCCGTCAGGGATAAAGGATGATTCGGCCTGCCGTCCCAAGGACGGACCCTGCCCGTGACTTCCCGGGCATCACCGCAGCCAATCAATGCGACGCAGGCGCTTTGTTGGCTTTGTTGCTACGTGCGCTAGTGATTATCATTACTATGCAATGGCGACCACAAAAAAAAAAAACGAGACAGATTTCCAAAAGCTTGCTGTGTACGCAGGGGGATGAGCGGCTGCAGCGCGTTGAGCGAGACTACCTAGGTAATTTTGACGGTAGTGAGCAACGAGGCGGGCGGGTGGTTTTGGACAGCACGACACACAAGCGACCACCACACATGAGCGCGCGCCAGCCCATGCTGGTGAGCTTGCGAAAGCGTGGCCCGGGACCGGGCGGGCGAGGCAAGAAAAAACGCGCTTGTTGGGCTCACTAGTAGCAGAGACAGAGATATTCAGAGACAGAGAGGCAAAAGGAACGAGAACGCCATGATGCAAAAGCTGTCCAAAAACAGACCTCCCAAACAGCAGTCGAAACGCTGGCACCACCTCCGGAGCCTCTCAAAAATGCTTCAGACAGGAATCAGGAGGCTAGGAAAGAGAGTGGTCAACAACCTCACCATTAATGACAATAGAATAGAGACGCACAGGAGGGAATATGTCGCGGGGAGGAAGAAACTAAGAGGTATGGGGAGACAATAGGACGAGATAAACAAGAGGGTCAACACAACAAGGGGGCAAGCGATAGATCCCAATCGAGGTTGGCGACGGCAGCCGGGCCTGAGCAGCCGTGGCCCGGCATGCACAAACGCCCATGCTCCGCCAGAAAGTGGAATGCTGGGAAACATGTTTTCCAGCTAGCTGGCGGGTACATATGTGGCGAGGCTGCGGGGGAACTGGTCGGGTCGTCTAGTCTCAAGGGTGCAAACCATAACCCAAACTCCCCCAGCGAGACGCGCCCGCAAAAAAGCACCTTCTCCCTTGCTGTGTGTGGCCACCGTCCGCTTGGCGTCTTCCGCATTAAACGTAGATCTGATAGCGAATCAGTTTGATTTGTAGAGCGACCCTCATGCCCTTGCGATGTCGTCTAGACTAGTCAACTGGGGTGCTGCATTGCGTCCCGGCGCCCCGGCCACCGTGGTGCTGGCTGCGGCTGTCGTAGGTGGGCCCGCCCTCATACGGACTCCGCTGCCGTCAAACACCCATGGCCCAGCGTCGTTCCTTGGCGTGATGGGCCCTTCGACGGCATTGAGCAGCGCGGGAGGGTGGGGTGTCGGGGACGGCGTTCGTGTATCGCGCTCCTCGGAGCCCGACCGCGAGGGGTCGGCGTCCAAGGTCACACCAGACGTGGCCCCCTGAGCAGCCAGGCGACGAGACGAGGCACTCGATGGCATACGAGGGATCGGAAGCGGGGTCGAAGTTGCGTGAGAGGGCTGCGTTTGTGGGGATGACGGAGTTGTCGTGTCCGTCGATGAAGGCGGAACCGGAGTCACGCTCACGTCGGTTTCAGCCACAGTCACCGCCGGAGGGGCCGGCGCCGGCGCCGAAGCTGGCAGGGCCGCTGACGCCGATGTCATCGCGATGGCATTGGCGGCTGCAGCGGTCAATGTTCCTTCCCCATTGGCCTCGTGTCCGGCAAGAGCGCTCTCGTCCAAGTCTGAGTCCATTTGCTCCCATTCCTCCGGGTCTTCGACTTCAGCTTCCAGGTCGGCGGCGGCGCGGCAGTTTGGACAGATGAAGATGGGGTACTGTGGGGACGCGAGCAGGCTCCGGATGCACTTGTAGTGCCACGTGTGGGAGCAAGGGGCTACAAACAAGCACTGGCAGGGCTATACAGCGTTGTTTGTTGTCGGTCAGTAGCTAGAGCAGTAAAGATTCCACCGCGGGTGGGCGATGGCTGTATGGAAGGGCAATAGGGATGTGGGCGAGAGAGCAAGTGAACATACCGCGATCGAGTTGAGACATATTGAGCAGTCCTGTGAGGTCTGGCTCGAAGCGCTGCCATCGCCAGATTTGGTCATGTTACGTAGCCTCTTGTGTGTGTTCATGCTGGTGGAACAGAGGCGAACCGTAGTCAGTACGAGAGGGAGACGGGCGCATAGATATCACGGAGAGGCCAAGGTCAACTACGTACTTGAAGGCATTGAGCTTGCTCTGCCACCCACGGTTCAGCTCCAGGCGCATCTTAACGCATCGAAAGATCATCTCCTCGCCACCTTTGAAGTCGATGCCAAGCTGGACAATGTCGCCGTCGTTGATGGGGAACGGTTTCGATTCGGTGCCAGGAGGACTCAGCCTGATGTGGTTGAGAAAGGTGCCGGACGAGCTCTTGACGTCCTTGATGTACCACTTTCCACCCTCGTGCCAGAACTCGCAGTGTCTCCGACTGACGACCTTGGACTTGAAGCCGACGGGAGCGGCCGAGGGCACGTTGACAGGCACGTTGGGCTGGGCATCGCGCTCGGAATAACGACCGACACGGATGACCTCAGTCCCGGTGGGCAGGGTCCTGGAAACGGGGCTGAAGGTGAGGGACGGACGGGTGGCGCGGGGGTCGTAGAAGGTCGAGAAGCGGATCGAGGGCATGGCTTCGGAGCCCGGCCCACCGCCCTGGGCCAGGACAGACGCCTCGGAGGCGGTAGCAGCGCGCGTCCGGGTCATGGGGCCAGCGCCGATGCCTCGGTCCGGCTCTACCACGGCGAGGCTCTCGAGCGAAGTGGGTACGTGGGCGAGGGGCTGCGGCGGCTGCGGCGTGGCAGCGGCGGCGGACGGCTGGGCTGCGAGCGTCGGCGCAGACTGCGACGGGGCGTGTGGGAAGAGGGCAGCGTCAGGCGACGGGAGAGCAGACGCGGGGGCGGGCCCCTGAGACGACAACGGGCTGGTGCTACGCGACCGGGACCAGGACGCGGGGAAGATGGACGGCGAGCCGGAGGCTGAGGTGGCCGAAGGTGTGGCGGTGGCGACTGCGCGAGAATTAGGCGACGATGAGCTGACGGTCCGGAAGAGGCTGGCGACGGGACGGCGAGCGATGATGTGAATTGGCGCGGCGTCGGCGGTGCTAGCGTCGGCGGGACTGTTGTTATTGTTGCTGTTGTGGGTGGCGGCGGTGGTAGTGGCGTCGCCGGACTGTCCTGGATGCGCAGATTGCGAGTGGGTATGATGGGGCGACGTTTGTTGTGGTGTCGGTGTCGGGTCGTTCTGGGGTCGGGGCCTGACGACGACGGGGTGGGCGGGGTTGGCGTGGTCGATGCTGTGGTGGTTGTGGTTGTTGTGATCGCGCGTCAGGGTCAGGCTCTTCTTCTTGAGATATGAGTTGAGGCCCAGCAGGCGGCTGCTCCGGCTGGTGCTGGCGCTGGCGGTGGTGGTGTTGGCACTGTTGTGGCTGTGGCTGTGGCCGTGAGCCAACGAGGGCGGCGAGGACAAGGTGGCGGCAGGTGGGGACGAGCTGGGAATCAGGGCCGGCGATGAGGGCGCTGGGGCCGGGTGCTGGGAAGATGAGGCAGCCGGCATTTAGGCTGCGCGTGCGGACACAGCGAGTGAGGCGGGGAGGCTATTCCTTGGGATGTTGTTTGGCATGGACTTCTGAATCGGCCACCCCGTCTGTGTCGTGCGGGCTCCAATGCGGGCTCCAATGCGGCTGACTGGTTGCACATGCAGCGGTCGGTGGGTGCGAGGGTGGCACTGGGTTGGCTGGCGCTGGTGCTGGCGCTGCCAATGGCACGGCCTGGGCGGGCTACTGTATGACTGAGGGGGAAAACAGTGGTGGGCGCTGGCTGCCTGCTGCCTCCTCTGCTAGTGGGGTGGGGTGCCAGGTCGGCTGCTGATCAAAATTGGTTGTTTTTACCAGCTACGGAAGGAGTCAACAGCTGCGGTCCCAAGAGCCAGCCAGGAGGGCCAGCCAGACGACGTCAGGCGGGCTCAGACGCGTTCTAACTGTACAGCAGCATGAATCAAAAATAAGCACAGACCGGCGCCTTCATGGGTGGTGAGCCTTGGTCTGGTCCGGTCTAGGATCCGGTCTCGTCTGGCGGCTGCTCGGTCTGGCTTACACAGGCCGCTGGCTCTACTACGAGGTAAACGCTGGACCTAAGTAAACAGGCACTCAACGTGGGGAAGCTCCATGTTGGCGTCGCGCACCAGGCAGAAACGCTGCAGGCGGATCCTGGCACATCAATCTATATGCGCTGCACAGTATGCGACCTGTCTCCAGCTGGGCTGTGAGCTCGTCGTGAGGCTGGATTTGACGGGCGGGAACAGGCCAGGCTTCGGGTGACTTCAATATCGGTGTGGCGGCTGGCTTTGCCTTTCCGAAATGCAACTGGTTGGATGGGCTCGACTCGCCGCCAGGCATGATCCAAGGTACTTGGTGCCTGCCACTATGTATGTACCACGGCACAAGAGGTGGGTAGATGCAGCGACATGACTGCGCCCTCCAGGCGTCCAGATCCAAAAAAGTACAACTCAAAAGGAAATAAGGATAAGGGGTGGATACAGACGTCACATGCGAGGTTGCCGGTCCATGTCAAATGCCATCCCGCATGGCCTTGTTCTTCTTTTTCTTTCCCGTGATGCAGAAGCGGCTGGGCCCTCACAAATGCACGCATACCAAAAACACACATGAACTAGCTGTAAATACTGCTAACTCTTGAGCGGGCACGTTGTGTCCAGCGCAGGCATGCGTCAAACGTGCCGCGAGACGGTCGCCTGAACCTCGTTTTCCGCTTTTGGTCTTATGTATAGTATAGTAATGACGCCCCCCCGCTCGAGACGGACATGGCGTCGTCTGGTCCCAAGTGTTCGCCCGGCGCCGAGGTTGTGCTAGCCACGCATCCTCTGTGTGGTGTCCCGAGAGCTTGCCGGATATTGGCAGACTGCCCGTATCCTGGGGCTCACGTGGTCGAGGCCGCTGATCAATGGACCCACCAATTGCAATTGCGTTTGCTGCCCGCTTAGGGTGGTGTGTTCGGTCGTGCTTCGAGGTACTCGTGCGGTGGGGCAATTCGACGTTTTCGGGGCAATTCGACGCTTTTTTGTGACACTTTTCCCCAGCCAAATTTAGCTGGAAATCGATGTATCGCTGAAAAAGGTAATAGTTAGCCAAACTCCTGTAGGCACGGTGCACAGCCAAACTCGTAACTCCCCTGTGCACTGTGCAAAAAGTAAGTGAGCGGCCCATTACCTTTTTTTTAGCGATACATCGATTTCCAGCTAATTTGGCTGGGAAAAAATGTTACAAAAAAGCGTCGAATTGCCCCGAAAACGTCGAATTGCCCCACCGCACTTTACTCCGGAGGACCGTCAAAGTGCGGGCGCTTTTAGCCCGCACGAGTACCTATAGTGCTATGCTACGGGGATAGGAGGCGAAAAAAATCGCCATTTTCGAGGTAGCGCCAAGAGCACCCCATGTTCAGCCCCTACCAAATAAGGCCTAGCCTACATTTCTTTTTCAACATCAATCGCAGCACCAATTCGAATCCGCCCACACGCGTTTTAATCGATTGGCTAGTGCATACCCCTGGCCCCTGCCCTCGCTTCACGAGTGACCTCCCACTGTAGATTATTTAACCCTCACACCTCCGTAGGTTACCCAACTTGCTCGGAGAAAAAATACTTTATCGATAACAGCCGTCTGCACGGCGTTCCCGCCCATCAGTGACACAACTTCTCATCGACACACCGGAGACAT